ATTAATATCAATAGGATACACCACTCGAAAACATAAGGATTTTCACATTATCTTTTGTCCCGAGGTCCATACATCTCCAATGATCGAGATCTTTGGGAGGCAAAGAAGGTCATCGTCGTTGCAGTGATAAACACAGTGGATGGACAACTAATGTAAACAACGACAAAGTGGGCGACGCCAACCATCATATGGAAGCTGAAGAACCCATTTCGATTGAAACGTTGCTCCTTAGTTGCAGCTCACTGCATACTTAAGTTACATTCAGAAATTCATTTTTGCGCAGAACCGTTGGTCATGATTTCTCGGATCAACCACACCCACATCGGCGGAATTTCCTGTACTGTTTCTGCATTGAATCTGCAGCAATTATCGCTTCCAAAATGTCAGGCGTCACCGTGACGACAAAAGGAGCGCGATTGGCTACAGTACGAAACCTCAATACAAGCGATACCAATGGCGGTGATGACCGAAAGCATGCGGAACGATCAATTGGTCAATGACTCAGCCCTATAACATAAATGCCTTTTCTGGGGTTGAACTTTTAGAATTTAGGCATTATGAAATATGGCTAGCTATAATGCACCAGGCTGTGAGGCTGTGCGACAAGACTTTACTAGAAACTTTGAACAACAAAACTTCTATGGGTAATATTGCTGACCAGATTACGAGGAAGAAGTGGATACTTTCTGCACCTTTTGTATCCGAGTAATAAGGAAGGCATTGGAAAAATGCCACCATCGAAGTTCTGCATTGTTCCCATATGCCGGAGGAACAAGTTCTGGAGCCGGTAGGGAACATTAACTCTGGATCGCACGTTTTGGATTGTCTTTACCAGCGAGCCTATTATTATAGTACATCAATGTATAGTCAAATAAGCAATCGCACAGTTTCATTACACTGCGAAACTTATACACCTTTACTGTACTGAGGAGTGGTAAACGGAGATGATTCGCAAGATATCCTGATAATAGCAACTTCAACAGATCAGTGTTTGAGGATTAAATTTATCAGCCAATTCAATCACAAGGACTAGACAAATAATTTTCGAGTACTCGGTGCCAAGACGGCGAATGATTACGATTACCAGGATTTGTAGCCAATCATGGAATTTTCTCTCGAGGAAAAGGGGGTTCATAGGGCTGAATTCCGAAGAGTTGCAGATAGAAGTGAAACCAGGGAGTTATGCTCTCCTCGCGGAGATGAAGCTTCTTTTGGGGGTATAATAAACTCTTGTGTGTGTCGAGAAGGTGTTTCGAGTGATATGAAGAAGGGCTTCTAGAAGGATTTGATCCTTCGATAACGACGACTGCTATAACTTTCACAAAATCATGGATACTGTATGCATATACACAAAGAAGGACATTACATTACATCAAGGCCAGGTCGATCAATATAATATCCACACAGTTGTCAGATGGTTCAATCCTTCTGTGACACGACCCAAAGAAAGGGTGTGGTGGAGATCTCATGCATGATGTGAAATCAGGGGCGGACGTTGTGTGTGTCGTGTATACAGAAGTAGTTTATCTTGAGAGAAGAGAGGGGGGGGGGAGGGGGGAGGAAAGTAAACAATATGAAAATCTGCCTCGCGAAATGGGTTCTGCCGTTCCCCTTCGCTTCCGAGATGTATGAACGAACTTTTGGTCTGTTAGTTGTTGAGGTTAGGATTATTAGACAGGGGCATGTGGCTGCTCGTGCACATCTACAATGACCTGCTATTGTTAACGAAACACGAAACATCTATTTCCGAAGGGTCTAATAATGACTAATTAACATCCGTCATGATGCAAAGAATCTCATACACGCACCGGTATTGGTGTTGTCTGGAAATGCAGAGCTTCTATTTGGGATCTTTACTAATTATGACGATAGAAGAGATGGCTGTGCTTCGACACCAAGAGGCTGTGCAACTGTAAAAGAGAGGAAAACATATTGAATATTTTCGGTGGGGATTTTGGGGCATATGAGATGAGATATGTGACCGAGTAGATGTGCAGTAGCCACTGATGGGCGTGTGTTTGGTTAATTCCATCGTACTCGGGCCAATCATTCGTTGTGAACCCCTGATCAATTTAGCCACAGAACACTTTACTCATCAAGAGGGGTTCTTTTCTTTTTTATCCTTGGGTTCCAATCGAAAGTGTCAATGTCAACGCTAACTGAACATATACACAATTTTGTATTCGGTAGTGTCGGCGGTTGCAAGAGTTTGTAATGATACATAAGTTACAATACCTGGGCAAAACAATTGATCCTACAACCCCTCAATCCTTGGCCGGGAACTTTACGGATTGTCACCCTCATTCTTACCGGCAAAAGTCCAGATCTATTCCTGTGATCACCATGTTGTCCATTCAATCAATCCCTCGTTCTCGGTACTATTGCATCCAGGCAACAATAAAATGTACCTTTCGTCGATCATCTGAGGAGTGCATGGTAATTAGATTAAGTATGCATGTATCTACTGTGGTTTTATTGTTTCGTCGATTCGATGTAACTCAAGATTTCAAAACTCCTTCAAATGAAATACTGTGTGTTTCTTTTGGGAACTTTGCTGGGGAGCCTGCCAATGAGTGAAGATCTAGCCACACGTTCACTAGCATGGAACCCCACCCATTTCGCCTTATTTGTCTGAGAGTAGCGAAAGCAAGCGAGTGAGACAGGGTTCAGTCAACTTGAATGGGATTTCCCCACCCGGATTGGGAGGAGACTAGGAAGGAGGGAAGATCTGCATGAGGGAGAGGATTGCTCGTTGCACATCACTTGATATTTGTTGATTTCGATTGAAGGAGGAGGAGTGAAGTCGACGGGGGTGAGCTCGCATCATTTTGTCGCGATGTGCAAAAGTAGAATATTCGCTCGCATCAATGTCCGCTTTTGAACTTTTATCCACTCATGGCCCTACATTATAATATCCAATCTCGAGTATTTAATTGTATTATTGTAGGAGATTGTATAGAAACGATGCTTGGTTGTACATATCCACACATCCCACATCGTAAATGTCCCAAGACGTTCCCTGCCCCAGTGGGTTCTGATGGTAATCAATTTTTAGTCTCGGGAGGGACCAGCGACAGGGGAGCAGGGGAGCTATGATTCTTAGCACGTTTGTCCAAAGATTTGCGGTATCCATCATCTGGTTCGCTACTTCTACGATATCTCATCTCTCCCTTTGGGCCTAAGCACCCTTTCGTAATCTTACCCCAAACAGACTGTTTTATACATTTAAACTTTTTCCCTTGTATATTAGGTGGACAATAGGTGTGTGTGCACTGTGTTCAGAAATGAAGTGGAGTGAGTCTTGACCGACTAGACGGAGATGGCGATGGTTGGACGGGTTTCCAGGCGGCCACTAATAATGCGTGCAGCGCCAGTCCTGCAAGTTAACCCCTTCCATTGCAAGGTCATTGAGATCCGGTGGTGCATGGTTGTAAGATGGGTATGCCCAGTGAAATAAAAGTCAGCCATACATTTGCCAGATGCATTCGGGTAAGGCTGTGTATGATTTTTTTTGGTGCCTGTTGGTGCGGAAGAATGGATTTTGTGGATATATATGCATTGCTTGGTTTTGGTGCACTAATCGTTGTGCATACACTGCGGTGAGGTAAGGTCGGTGGAGGAGCGACCAGACCGAGGCCATGGAAAGAAGCCACAGTGTGCTGCTGTGTGTGCTGTGCTGTTTTGGTGGTTGTGAGAGTTTTGACTTGGACCTAAGTACCTTTTGGACCTAGGTACAGAACTGGACTGTTCTGTCAACCTGTCACTCTGGTGGTCTGTGATGATTTTCGTCCAAAGATTCTAGTTACGGAGTGGTTCGTCTACCGGGGACTAATCTCAACAAATGTACTACTCCGTATATGGGAATTCCCAGCTGCTTTTTCTTCTCTTTGGCTCTAGACTGTAGCATATTGTATTTGTACTTTACCAGCGGTTTCTTTCGTACCTACCTTAACTTAAACACTACATCTAAACTTTTTGGTAATAATCAACCAGATAGAACTTTCCGTAAGGCCTTTCTGGGGTATTGAAGTCAAATCGGGATTCTTGTCATGGATTAATTGACAAGTAATAATTTAGGGCAAAGAAGGAAAATCCCTGAAAATGATTTGCCCAAAGCCCATGTCCACCCTAAATCACCCCATGTCGGTTATCCCCTTCATCCATGTCCATGCTACATGGCCGGGCTTAGCATCTTGCATTTTCCTGGGTCGGCCATTTTTAAAAAAGCCCTCTTGTCCTTTCCCGTCCAAAACTACTCCATACCTAGTAATTTAGATTTCTTGATCTTACTAGACTGTGTCATTATTATCATGATATCAATCCTTAAAAGGTGCCCCCAACTTTTTAGAAAAGGAACATGTTCATGCTTCATCTTATACATCATACACTTATCCACCCCATATCTACTCCATATCTAGCTAGACCCTACTAGACTACTACAAAACATTGATCCCGCTATCCCGCTTGGCAATAAACACATCAACCTTGAAAAGCATCGATCATCCTCTCGAACTACTTGCATCATACCTAATCTTACCTTCTACCTAAACTAAACCCTACCTTACTCTTTTGACTCTCGTCAACCATACTCTCACTCATCATACCTTATATATATATATTCTCCGCGCCTCGCCTTCTTCTTACGTCGGCTTTCCTTCATCGGCTTCCTGTTTCAGATCATATCTCTAATCCCAAAATACTACCTTGGTTCAACTATCTCCAAGTATCTACCAACATCAACTTGCGCAACGACATCTTCACGAAAGCCATATACCGTGCAATCTTCTTCAACATACAATATCATAGGAAAACATACTCGACGGCACACTCTCATACTGGATCTCCAAAGAAATCAAAGGTAATTAGCATACAACCTTGGGCATTTGGGTCTGTGAAGCAGTTTACTGATTGGCATATCTAGTCGGCGATAAGTGTGGCTACCACCCAAAGACAAACTAGCCAGCCATCACCGTCTTCAACAAACACTTCCACAGCACAACATGGTCTCCGTATCTGATCACTCATTCCATATGCTATCGCGACACATGGGAAACGAAAACGAAAACGACTTTGCTCTCTTCCCCGAAGCAAATATGTATTCCCAGCAATTTTCATACCATGGCATGCCGAGCTTCCACATTGAACACGACGCTTCCTATGCATACCCGAGAACACAAGATTTATATCCTACTAGCACTGGCTTCGATTCCACAACAATGTATAGCGAAATTCCTCAAAATTTCATTGGTTCACCAGAGCTTAGAGGAGCCGCGCCTTCAAATTACTCCACAGCAAGTGGACCTTCTGCGACATCCTCGACCATTGGCTCACCAAATTCAAATAACGGCCACATAGTGTCAGTATCGGATTGGGGTTCTGGACTCGGCATTAATCCAAGTATCGTGAATTACGATAACTTTGGTCAAGGAACCGACTACAACTTTTCTGCAGGTATGGAAGACTTTACTGTAGATTTCAATACTGCCAAACCAGGCTTTGTTGGTGAGTGTGAAAATATTTCTAGATCTACACCTCGTCAGTGCAGTTCCATCACTTCATCTCATTTGGACCCTTTTTCTTCTTCCTCTCCTATTCATACCATTCATACTCCAATGAATCCATCGAGAGCTATTGCTTCGCCAATTACACCTGTCAGTGCAATTCGAAAGAGTTCTAGAGAAGAATGTTTAAAATCTCCTCGTGTTTCTGCACTTTCAGTCTCTCCTGTGTCTTGTCGATCATCCTCAAGTTTCAATGCGCCTTGTTTCCCATCTCCAACCAGCGCTAGTCGCAGTCAGGGGGTGAGACTATCTCCCGTCACTACTTCAATGGCGCAAACATTTACTTCGGAACCGACATATTCTTATGCTTCATATCAACAATCTCCTTTCTTTTCTCAATCTAGCGGCAATTCTGTTGCTCCTCTTGAATCTTCTTGTGTGTTTCTCTCTGTCAATCCAGCACTGCACTGCACTAGCTCTATCTTCTCTCCCGCTAAGCAAACTAAAATAAACTTCATGCTAATGATTAACTTTTAGACCCATCTATTCTACATGCACCATTCTCTGCTACTCGCCCATCATCAGTACTTGGACAAGCCGAGTTATCTCCATATCAAGCACCAATGTATCCTACGTCTCCATCACCATCTCAACTCTCATCGAGGAGTCCTGGACCTGCCAAGGCCGATAGCGCCAGTCCTTACTTGAGCTCTCAATATTATCCATACCCACCACCAATGGTCAGACGGCCATCTTTGACTATCTCCCACCAATCATATGGTTCTCAAGATGGTAAATTCGGCGGTGAAGAAATAAAAGAAAAAGGTCGTTGCACTTGGCCTGAATGTGGGAAGGTCTTCAAAGATCTTAAAGCCCACATGTTAACACATCAGAATGAGCGTCCAGAAAAGTGTCCCATACAAACATGTGACTACCACGTCAAGGGCTTTGCTCGAAAATACGATAAAAACCGTCACACATTGACCCATTACAAAGGGACAATGGTATGTGGTTTCTGCCCAGGTTCCGGATCGGCGGCAGAAAAATCCTTTAATCGTGCTGATGTATTCAAGAGACATCTTACTTCAGTGCATGCGGTGGAGCAAACTCCACCCAACAGTCGGAAGAAGACTTCCGCCAACATCAACAGTGGAAAGAAACTCTCTGGATATGCACCAGATGCTACCGGAAAGTGCTCTACTTGTTCGGCCACCTTTAGCAATGCCCAAGACTTCTATGAACATCTCGATGACTGTGTTCTTCGCATTGTTCAACAAGAGGAGCCATCAGAGGCGATAAACGCTCGCCGTCTTGCAGAGGTTGAACAAGATCACGACGTTCACGAGACTCTCCGCAACAACGCCCTCCCAGTTACCACCAATTTCTATCCAACCGCCGAAGACGATGACGAGGAAGTCGACGATGAAAACGACGACGATTACTCCATCCGCGCCCGTATATCCCGAAAAGGTCGTCAAAACCGAAATCCTCCCAACGGTGTCCACAAGTCCAGAGGTATGACACACTCTAAAGGTGGCGTCACTTTAAATACCAAGGGCCGCAAGAAGCGCAAGGACTATCCTTCATCATGGGGATGTCCTACTTCTCAAATGAAGATGAAGAAGCGCGTTCTCACCGTCTTTGATGGGCCCCGTCGTCTCTGGAAAGACGACATGATGCTTGATACCGATTATGAGGTACGCATCAAGCTCGGTGATGAAAAAGTTTATGTGACCGATCTTGATGTGCAAACCATGAGGAGAGCGGAGGCATTCCACAATGCCACTGAAGAGGAGAAGGGCCTTTGGATCGCGGACGATCTGACGGGGATGGATTTGGAGAAGTTGATGGAGGTTAAGAGGGAGATATAGTCTCTCCTCTTTGCTCGTTGACTTTGCATAGTCCACTTTTTGTTACGAGGTTATGAGAGGGATTTCTTTACGATTTGCTCGAATGGATCGAGGCTTCTTACATATGCTTTTGCATCGGCGCTTTGGATACCATCTACATTTATATCTAGGGGGAGATATACTATTTACTACTTTAACGGAACCGGACGATACCAATTTTTACTTTTTACCTTTATTTTGTTCTTTTCTTTTCTTTTCTCGAAAACCTCATACAATACAATACCATATCATATGTGTGGGGACTATGGACGGTGTGGATGGGGGACAAGATAAAAGCTGCGATGTGCTCTTTTCTTTCTCTTTTTATTGGCTCGCATTATCTATGGCATATGCATGCATCAGACAGAGTTTCGATATGGCGTTTTTCTTTCGTGTGAAATTTAGGGGATGAATGGAAGGATGGGAGATGTAAGATCGCAAGTTTGGCTGGTCCATTTCTTGTGGTGTATATTGTGGAAGGGAGGGAAGGCGGTTGCATTGGATGGGGCGAGCTATATCAAAGCATTACTGCGTTACTTACCGTATGTGTGGTTGCATGGAATGAAGTAATAGTTATTCTAGGAAGCATGAATCAAAGAATGAAGAGCATTGGTCTCTCAACTCAAACTTCATACTTCATACTGCATTATCTTATTTGTTAGTGCTTGGTTGTGTCTTGGATCTTGTGTAAATGGATTTATAAACAAACCAGCCATCTGTGTATATATGGTTCGCCTTGCATAAATTCTTACGGTGCTGAAATCCAAGATCGTTGGTACTGTACGCCATGTAGATCCTGATCGGCATTGATGTGATGATTCAATTTGACGTAAAATCGCCCTGCAAGTATGAGTATGAGTATGAGTAAACATCACTCGAGTACGAGTTAGACAGATGATCAGCATACCAAGAATAAGCGAGATCCGGTTGCAGATGGGGGGGGTGGTATCCGTATCCATCGGGCGTGCTGCATAGCGTATGTAGGGTTATGCTGATGGTAGGATTGGGACTGGGGTTGGGGTTGTGATTGGGATTGTGATTGGGGTTGTGATTGGGATTGTGATTGTGATTGTGAATTGTGATTGGAGATGATGTACGCTTTGTGTTTATGTTTGTGGCTGGGCTGGGTTGGGTTGGGTTGGGTGGTCATAGGGATGCGGGGTTTGGGAGAGGGGGGTGAATGGGATGGATGGGTTGGATATGGATGGGGTGAAGAAGGGGCTTTTTATTGGGGAGCTGGGGAGCTGGGGAGCTGGGGGTATGGAGGGGAGATGTTAGCTGTATAGCTGTACTGGTAGATAGTGGATGAGATGGATGAGGTGGATGGAGATGTATGTATTAGTTTGTGGTGATGTGGTGATGTGGTGATGTGGTGAGGGTGGTGAGGGCGGTGGGACGAGGTGTTGAGCAGAAAAGAGAGTGAGAGGAGTGATAAGAGTGAGGTTAATGCATACGATCTCATGATTCAGGAGAGTAATGCTTTAATCTGCTATGGGGTGGTGTGGGTGTGATGGATGGGAAGGGGGGGTGTTTATCGATGTTGACTGGGCTAGACTAGTCCTTGAATGGCGAAATGAAAACGAGATGAATGGGTATAGAATGTAGGAGACGAGAGACACAGTCGGAGCTCAGATATGTTATATGAGGGGTGGAAGGGGTGTTGCATGCATTTCTGTTGCTTTTGATATCCGAGATGTAACAGTTGAATGTTTGATATCGTCGCAATATCATGGAATAAGAGGTTAGTTTTCCAAGAGCTGGTGAGAAGGGAAAGTAGTGTTGATTCAGGTTTCTAGTTGATATAGAAAGATAGGCAATGATGTTTGGTAGCGGGGTAGATGCGTTGCATATCTTCACATTTCGTTTGTTGATGTCTAAAGTATTGTTGTTTCTTGGTATCCTGAGAATCTCGAATCAAAAACTGTTAAATATGATGTCGAACCCAAATCATTACTATCCAAGTTGTTCTCCGAACATTTACTGTTTGTTCTTCTCCAATTCAGTCGGTGTAGATAGAGAGAAAGCACGAGCCACACTTTCCTAAAGTCGCTAACGCCACAGCTCTTATCTGCAGAACGTGGCCAGTTCTAGATAGCATCAAACAAAATATAAGAATTCCAGACAGAACTAATCTATCTGATTTTATCAAAAGATGCCGAGTATGTGAATGGGTACTCAGTTTATACACGAGATTATCGGCAAAGAATATCCGGATACTTTTGAGCTTGCTAGATCGTCATCTTTCCAATCGAGCGCGCCACGGTGATATACAGCTTGAAGCTACCAAGCTACAGAGCTCCGCATCTACCAACTCCACGGGTTCGCAGGTGAACAAGTGAGCAGATTCGCAATGGGTTCAAGACTTGCTTGGTATGCTGGTATCTCCACGGCTTTGGCAGGTGCAGTGGTCCTCTCTGCGTTCAACCAGCGCGCAAACTTTTATTCGGCATGCGTTTACTTGGCGCAGAGTAATCTGTGTCTTATGGTATGTGATTTTGAGCTTTCAGCTCTCTATTTGGTGGGCATGGCTAACTTGCAATAGATACTGCTTAATTTGGTATGCTCTGAACACAGTTTTCTCTCAACCACGTCCTGCGACAACCCCGCCGAAGCTTCCGTTTGCTGACAGATCATAGATTCTATTCGTTTTCTCCAGTTTCATGTACGGACTTCAACGACTCTGCTATGGCCCACTTCGTCCTATCGAAATTGAACAACTATACGAGAAAGCCTGGTTCGCCATTACGGAAACATGTCTCGCCATGACCATATTCAGGGAAGAAGTTGGGGCCTGGTTCCTCGTAATGTTCGTTGCTCTTCTTACCGGCAAAGTCTGGGGATGGATAGGTGATGGACGAGTTGAGATTCTAGAACAACAACCACCCGCCAATCCAAAGCTCTTCCATATTCGATTATCTGTATCTTTGGCGGTTTCAGTGCTTTATGATGCGTGGTTGATGAGCTATACGATCAATACGGTGATTCAACAGGCTAGGCCGAATATGATGGTTATGTTTTTGTTCGAATTCGCGGTATTAACTGTCTCGAGCTCTTCCACGGCTTGTAGATATATCATCTCGGTCATGGAATCGAGAGTGGTTAAGAAGCAGACCCAGGAGAGGTTGATCGAAAGGAAGAGAGAAGTCAGAGAGGAGAGGGCAGAGATGATCAGACAGAGAGAAATTGCGCGTGCGGAAGGTGGCGAGGATTATCAAGAACCTACTACGCCTTTGCCCTCTGAGGATGATGTTGAAGAAATGGATATTGAAGTTCCAGGATGGGAAGCAAAGGGCCAATGGGTTCTAACCCTCGATTTGGTGACGGGTAAGCTCATATTCATGTACTACGCGTTTGCTTTTGCTAATAATGCGATAGACGCCATGAAGTTGTCCATTTACTCATTCTTTTTCTTCATTCTTTTCACATTCTACGGTCTACCTATCCATATCATGCGAGATCTTTTCGTTACGGCAAGATCATTCATTAAACGACTTACCGCATTCTTAAGATATCGCAGAGCGACTCACGATATGAATTCACGATATGAAGATGCAACTGTTGCAGATATTCAGAGGGAAGATACATGCATTATATGCCGCGAAGAAATGCGACCTTGGTCTGTAACAAATCCACCAGTACCTGCTGGAGCACAACCTAGACCAGGGACGATCAATGAACGTACAAGGCCAAAGAAACTACCTTGCGGACACATTCTTCATCTAGGCTGTTTGAAGAGTTGGCTTGAACGACAACAAGTATGTCCGACATGTCGGAATCCTGTGGTAGACACCCCTCAAGATGCGCAAGCCAATGCCAATCGCAATGATAGAGCTAATCAACCGGGTCCTGGTCAACAAGATGGTCCTGCTGGTGCTCAACCACCAGCAGCGCCTGGTCGTGGCCGCGGAATGCGTATGCTTAATCTTGGACCAATCAGAGTGGGCTTTGGGCAGGCGAATCTCAATGATTTCGCTGGCATTCAAAATCCTCCAGGAGGTCAGGCAAATGCCGCAGGTGCTGGACCGAGGGTCTACGGTTTGGAATTAGGTATTCCCCGCAGAGCTCAGCCTCAAGCCCAACCAGCTCTTGTGAATACTGGAGAGCATGCTGCAATAGCTCTTGACCAATTACCACAACATTTAGAAGAACTAGAACAACAAGTAGCGCAAGAAATTCGAAATTTACAGTTGAACCAGCAGCAGCTGCTAGTTGTCCAATTATTACAAGGCGAACTGTCGAGGCTGAGAAACATACAAAATAACGGCATGGATCCTTTGACAGCAAATTTTCCCTTGCCGCAATTGCAGTTGCCCCAGATGTCCAACTTTCAACACACGCCACATATCGCCCCCTCATTCAATAGCCGACCATCAATTCAACCACAAATGCAAAGACATAGCGTACGATCCAATGCCTCAGCAATACCATCCGGTAGTGCTGACCTTCCACCTGGAGTTGTCATACCAGAGGGTTGGTCACTTCTGCCATTAGAAAGACTACATAATGAGCCTCCACCGGGCCAAGCAGGCACACCAGGGACATCGACAGGACCTGCAGCAATATCAACATCTGATGACCCCGTTATAGCCTCCACATCTACCCAAAATGTAGTCAGCCCTATAAATGTGGGAGGTGAAACCTCTAATATTAGCACTACGCCAATCAATGCCGAACAAAACCATTCGCAAGCCGGCTCGCTTGATTCTTCTGAAACAAACGCCATTAATACTCCGCCATCTATCTCAGCTGACCAATCGGCGTCTACAATTACTACTTCTATAAATCCATCCTCTACAAATATCAGCCCATCTGTTAATCATCCCAGTTTACCTAATTGGGAAAATCCGCAACTATTTTCGGGATCAAGCTTGGTGGGAAATCAAAATCTTGACGGTGCTCATTCAGCACCAACTTCGCCCCCACATGGTGGTGATAATTTAATTCCTCATGTTTCTCTTGATGCGATGACAGGTACTGGTGAGTCAACTAGTAGTTCGGCGGAGCACAGTGAGCTAAGAATTGATGAAGATAGTGAGGTGAGAAGACGGGAGAAGGGAAAAGCCAAGGCAGCTACGGTTGAGGATACAGTAGATGAAGAGGAGTGAGAGGAAAACCCATACTTTGAGATGACAAGTATACTAATTCCTCATGAATTTTCATCCGTCATTTACGTGTATATTGTTTATCGTGCATGATGCATGATGCATAAAGCCAGTGATGAAGTGGCATGAAATCAGATGTAGATTCATTATTGGCGTTCTTGGGGAGGGATTCTGATGGGATGGGATTGACAAATGGATGGGCGTATAGTGTACGTAGTAGTTAGTCTATTATGGATAGGCATAAGCATAAAATATCAGCGTAAGCGTAAGCGTTAGCGTAAGCAGAAGTATAACTTTGAAACATACACATTTACACAAATATATAATGTGTCATAAGACTGGCGTTCTTTGTGTCTGACGGCTTGGCTTGGCTTGGCTTGGCTATGTATGTTGTGTTGTGGCCGGGTGATCGGGTCGGAGAGAAGATGGGGTGATGGGATGGGGAAGAGAGTGATGGGGAAGGGAGGGGAGAGAAGGGGAAAGGAAGGAAAATGATATGTGCTATTTTTATAATAATGTCTAGTGCCTTCTTAGTCGTGGCGGTTGGTGATGGGATGGGGATGGAAATGGAAATGGAAATGGAAATAGAAGTATAAGTACAAGTACAAATACAAATACAAGGTTATAAAGAGAGATAGATATAATGAATTTTCTGAGATATTTATATCAAATCAAGGTATCTATTTTTTTTATTGATCTAAGATGTAGATTCTTTAATACAGGGGGTGATTTTCTTTAATGCCTCAACTTTGCTTATATAGGTTAGTAGGTATTGCTCGAGGTTTGGTTTGGTTTGGTTTGGTATGGTGATGAGGTGAGATTTGGAGAGAATGAAGGGGGATGATTAGGGTAATGATGCTTTGGGGGGGGTGGGTCACGATATGAAGGTATGTCGTATGTTGTATGAGGTATGGTATAGCATGACTTGAACAAAGTGTAATCCAAGATTTTGAATTGAATATGAAAGGTGTCAGATGTTAGGTTATTATGGGTGATAGATTAGACTATCTAGTAGCTTTAGCTTCCCTACCTTGTCAATATACTCGAGTATCATCAAATCTCATTGCTTCTCCGATCTGCACTGAGTCGGGAATATATATACTAAGTATGTTATCCACGGTACTCGGGTACAAGTATGTGTATATACGAGCGGCTATTGATGTAATAGAGATGGAGATACAATACAATATATTCATGGTACCGCTGTGCCGGGTCTTCCGATGATACTTTACTACTTGTACTGTGAAGTAGATACCAAGTGGGCTTACTGCGGAAGTAGGGAATATTGCTTGCTTACTGATGAGGTAGTGTTCCGAAATAATACTACAATCGAATCCAACCACATATTGTACAATGTGTATAAGGCTATATCTACTCGGCATATATCTACAATATACAGCAAGGCTTTGGGAATTACGAAGTAAGGTTAGTGATAGTGATAGGGTAAGGTAGAGAGAGTGAAGAGATCATGGCGTGATGAACAGTTGGTATATACTCGAGTAGTATACCAACACCAATAACCTACCAACATTATACTTGTATCATAAATACTATCATAACCAAACAAATATAATAAAATTCAATAATCCCTACACTTCTTTCTTTCCCTTCAGCGGCACATATAGTGTTTCTAGCAGTCACAGTCACAGTTACATTTAGAGTTTTATGTCACGTTGGCAAATTAGGTGTGAGAGGTGCGCTTGTATAGTATACGAGTAGTACTTATAAGCGACTTTATGAGCATTTCTTTATTGGATTGTACATATCTATATCAGTTGATATACGAATTAGAATTATAATTAGAATTATAATTAGATTCGGAGATGAGATAAGATTGAGATTGAGATTGAGATTCTTCATTTGGTACGATACGATATAATACGAGAATGGTATTGGAAATATAATTGTGATGGTGATGGTGATTGTGATGAGTTAGACTCTGCTATGCGAGTTAATTATTGTACTGTAATATTGGAAATTGTTTCACAAGTTGCAATGTAGTGAGTGGTATTGTGAGTTCGTATACTGCTATACCGGTATCTACTCGAGTATAGGAAAGTAAAGTAATGATTCGGGATCTGAAATGGGAGAGAGTTATAGTACTATACAATATGAAGTTACTAACTGATGGTAAATACTTAGTAGTGCGTTGAAGGTTAATGGCAATATACTCAAGTAGTAATGCTGTACTCGTGCTGTTGGATTTGATATATTTTCAACATGTATGCATATATATATTCGTAATGTGGTTTTGAGTCTTCGAGTTCGAAAGGGTTTGTAGCGAGTAGGTTCTTGTGGCTATTTGGGTGAGGACGCGGCTTGGGTACTGTGCTGTGATGTGATGTGATGTGATAGAATAGGATAATCGTAGATATTAATGAGATCAAGGAGATTAACGAGGAAGTACGTGGGGTTTGATAACGAATGGAAAGAATGTTGCATTACTCAGTAAGAGGTTTTTATGGTTTGAGGCATTTGCAGTTGAGAACATTCTGTTGTAGATGAGGAGATCGAAAGAATCGGTCTGGGTCTGGTTTCTCGAGATGAATATCTGTACTCGAAGTATTCAGTTCAGATGAGGTTCGTGTATCAGATCTTATCCGTTTGATATTGTTGCTTGGGAACTCGTGAATTATGAATCATGATCATTTGAGATAGATTACAATAATAATACCTATTTGTTTTGTTTTGTTTAAAAATAGAGAAGACTATTCGGATTGTTTGTTTGATTTGGTGTTTTGATTTATCAAATGATATATAGATGAGATTCTGTTATTATCTAATTAGCTAGGACTAGAAGTAAGTATATGTCTATGATTATTGTATAGCATTTATTTTCATAGACAATATATTCTCTGATACTTATATGTATATTATGATTGAGCAAAGGGGCTTGGGTGTTTACAATGGTCCAAAATTTAGAATGCCTTGAAAAGGAGAAAGGAAGATAACAAGCAACCGCGCTCAAAGCTCTGAATATATTGTGGAAAGAAAAGGTTTTCAACATGCAACCACATGTAGCTGCCTTTGACCATTCGAGATCGAAATAAAGATATAGTATCATTAGGTTAATGATGTTGCTAGTAGCAGACTAATTTTCGGTAGTCCTCTCCCTCCATTCTCTTAGCCTCATCACCCAATTTAAAAAAAAAAAATACATTCCCATAACCGATGAAACCCCCAAAATACAAGAAATCCGATACCAAAAAGATCAAACACACTCAAAGTCCCCAAGTTCCTCAAGCTCAAACCCTCATCTCTCCATATTTTCCGCTCTCGTAACCCCTTCCACCAACTGATGATCCTGTCCACCAATACTCGCACCGCACTCTGGGCACCTAGCCTCTTCCATCGGCATTCCGCACTCACCTATTGCAAACTACGGATATCGATGTGTTAGCCAAACTTCACCTTTTCTTCTATCCCCCACTACTCAGGAGTCAGAACAGAGAGATACTAACCGGATGTCCCCTCTCACATTCATACCAATGACCACTATGAGTTGCAATCCCACCACTCCCCGAGACCATTGCTTTCTTAATCGCATCTAGTTCTTCTTTCGTGACTTCTTCGTACCATTCTCGTCCTAACAACTTGGTCAATTCTTCCACTGCAGTTAGCAATGAGTTTGCGTTTTGAAATCCCTGACCACAAAATCCCTTTGCTTCGTCTAATAGTGCTTTGGCCTTCTCTATCTGCGATGAGGATTTTTTTGATTCAGAGTCAGAACCGGGTGCAGAGTGCGTATACGAATAATTAAGTAGAGCAATCTTCGCATAATAAAGTATGCCCTCGACTGCAAGTCTTGGAAGGCTTTCATCACGACATAACGCAATATATGAAAGGCAAGATCGAAAAAAGGGTTTTGCGAGTTGGTCTGGAGGACCACCAGGTATTTTGATGGGGAGATTGTGAGCTCGGAGCTTCCGGGCTATGGGAAATTTATCGGCTATGGTGAGATATCTAAGTTCTCTCGTGTCAGTCCTGACAATACAAATCTGATTGTACCATTGTGAAGAGGAGAGGGGAATACTCACTGAACCCTAAGCATCGCACCTGTTCCTGCATAAGCGATTCTTCGATCCCTTGGAGACGTTCTTACCGGCTCCGTAATCAATAGACGCCCCAGCGCATCCTCAAGCGACCGCTGCCTAACAGAAGTAACCATAGCATCATGAAGTTTTGTAGCAGGTTGATGTTTATCTTTGACTCTCTCGCAGAACTTCTTCACTGTTCCTTCTAGTTGTCTAGATTTATCATTCAGCTCCTTGAGCCATTCGGTCGTCTTGATCTCTCCCCATTTGCCTTCTGCCGCAAGGATCAACTCCGGAGCAGAAATTTCAAATTCCTGTTCCAATTTAAGAATTCTGTTGTCTAATTCTCGAAGTTCGACTTGACCGCTCACGAGAAATCGTTTGGACATTTCGTCGATGACAGCTCGATTGATCACTCGGTTGTATCTGAGAGTTGCATATTGTCGAAGTGGACATTGACAATCAGGACACTGAGGAACGGATGATGCTAGTGAGTGGGATGTGTTAATCGCTGTAAAGTTTCCATCTATGTCTTGTTGATAAACTTCAGACATTCCAACCATTCCGTCGAGAGATTCAGCTGTGAAGAAATGACCACAAGCAAGGACAATGATTGGCGTATCTCCAAGGTCAATTTCTTTGTATAACTTCATTTCAAGGAGGTCGACTCGCTGGTCTTGTTTTATGGAGCATATCTGGCAGTAATTTTGGGGACATGGCTCCCCACATATTGAAGGGAATTGATGTCCACATGAGAGCTGCAATGAACAACGCTTATTGCAGGGCAATCTGTCACAAGGGCCCGCACATCTAATCAAACATTCGATTAGCTTCGTCCAAGGGCAGTAAAATCAACCCATTCTCGTCAATTGAAGGGAAATAATGGAAAATTAATACTTACGGCATGTTGCATGCACCTTGGTGCTCGCAAGCCCACGCACATCGTTCTATACATGGAGCACAAGCTTCATGGCACTTTAATGTGCATCGAGAGTGAGAGCATTGGACCTGTTTGTTCAGAAAGTCAGATCGATTGTTGGAGTAAAGAAAACAGAGTGGACATACTTCGCAGCCCGATTGGCATAACCCGCAATCTTGTCCTGTGTGGCACGCCCTCCTGCAATTGTGGCTACAAGTTCCCAGTGAGCGCCCGCATGGTTTGACGCATGCTCGATGCTCGGTAACTCTAGTATCTCCTTTCGTTTGATTACATCGGCCACAGGTCGAACCGCATGTGTGTCCGCATGGTAAAATCATACCACAGATCGTAGGACAACTGAAGGTCAATGAGCTGATATCCTGAGAGCATGTGACTGTAACCGTGTGGCCACAATCAGGGACTTCTTTCTCAACCAAAACCGAGCATGGGATATTCTCTAGATCTAGAGTCAAATAACATAAAACGCCATCTTTGGTATGTTTGCATGGGAGTTGTATATTGTTTAGCTTGACCAGGCATCGTCCACAGTCTTCTCCGCAAGTATCTTTTCGGCACGAGTGTCCACATGGTTCGTGAAGGCGTTCGCAGGGCTTTGGGCATTTGAAAGTTTGATGCATGCTCATTGAGTGACATCGAGCTGTGCATTGGTGCCCACAATCTGGCAAGCGTTTGTTGCAGGACAATTCGCAACCGCCTTCGGGGCTCCATCTTGCGAAGTCATCTGGCTCGAATACCTGGATATTGGTATCCGGGTGTCGAGGGCAACAAAGAGCGAACGACTTGCCGACAGAATCAGTCTCCCCCAGCATGCCCAGGACGTGCTTCCACATTCTTACACTGGAGTACGTGTCTGAATTGCCAATTAGATACAAGCCGTGCTGTGCTCGGCTCAGAAGAACGTTGATACGGTTTGTAGTTCTGAGAAACCCAACATTCTTCTCTTTGTTGCTCCTGACGAGGGAAACAATAACAACCTTGGCCTCTTCACCTTGAAAGTTATCGACGGTAGCGATGCTAAATAATGATAGGATCAGATTTAGACCCTTTACATCTAATAGGTGGTGATACGTACCGGAGAAGTTCACTTAGGTTTTTCTTCTCAAGAGACTTTTTGTCTCCGAATGTTGTTATTGACAAACCATCGAGCTCTTCGTCTGTTGTGATAAGACCATCTTTAGCAAGAACTTCCTCATCACGATCTGATAGCACAATCTCAAACTCTTTCCGCATATGATTTCGCAATTTCTGCAGCTGTCCACTGTAAGGCGTCAAGACAGTGATATCGCTGCTACTATACACACCCTGTCGAACTATGTGCCTGACGAGTGCTGCTGTCATCTCAACTTCCCAAATATTACTGTGGGACTTATTACCAGCGTCGTTTCCATTCGTGTTGTCTTGGAAGTTTTTGTGATCAAGCCAGTAAATCTGTAACAAATGTGAGCAACTTCACAAGGGAAAATGCACAGTGGACTTTGAGATACTCGTGAGGGGCCAAGTAGCACTTACACTCTCTCGCATTCCAACAACACTCGGAAGAACTTTGGTGACGTCATGGTCAACCAATCTAGGATATATTGTCTTAATAAGTCTCGATATATTGGGACGCATACGACGCTGAATGTTCAGTTGAGCAATTGGAAGGGTGAGCCGTCCAGGCTCACCTACAGACAATCTCTCGAATTGACTGCGGTCCAGCTTATATGGAGCTCCCACTTGGCTTTCTAGGGATAAATTAAAGTTGTTAATTGAGGGGCGGAGCTGCTCGTGATCCCCGATAGAGACAACATGTTCAATACTTGCTTGAAAACAAGAACTGTTAGTTTGAGAGATAGACAAATTTGGCAACAGCGGAGTTTCTACTGCTCTTTCATCATGAGTGGAAAGTGTTGCTTACGTAGAAGTGCAGACAGCATATGAGCCTCAAGAACCTCTCCTGCTTCCTCACATACAATGACTTTAGCTTTAACGTGTCTCAAAGTAGACATTTTCGTTGCGAGACCAGTTGTAGTTACTCCAATAATGTCCGCTCCTTGCAAGACACGCCGGTTTACATCGGAGTATACGCTCTGTATCGTCCGATTGAAGCCCTCGATGCGAGTTATGCACTCAAGTAGCTCGTCCGTAACTTCTTTGCGAGCTTCTTCTGCCCAGTGTCTAGCAAGGGATACCTTTTCATTTCCAAACAATGCGTGTACATTGAAATTCGCGACATCTATCAAGTAATCTATCGTACGATCTTTTAAATAGGCTGGAGCTTGCCCTAGCTTCTCTGTGTCATGCTTGAGCCATAAATCGAAAGGTTCTCCGCCGACCTTGTCGTTGTCCGTTAGTACGAATAAGAGAAGAGCATATTACTTACAACAAGGTAAAAAAAAGACACATTTGAAGGTTCTAAGTCAAATTGAGAATTTTCGAAAAAGTACACTCACAGCTTCAAAGCCGTCTTCATCGAAACGACGAAACTGTTGAAAGATCTGGGGATGGTGTAGAGCGACGTGATCCTTCAACGATTTCCAAATTGGATGGCCATTTAATCCATTCAATTGTCGAAGAAGTCTCCCAACAACTTCCTCTTCGCTTTTCAAAGTCGAGTAAGTTGCCCCAAGTGTGCGGGCTTCGGGCCGAGTTGTACTCTCACATTGAGAGACGACACGAAGGTTTTTTCCTTCTAGGATGACCGACTTACTTTGTCCACCTATTCGAATAACTTTCTCGATGCCAGATTGTACCAGGTGTTCAAGGAATTGGTCTAGAGCATGGTTCGTGTAACAACTAGGCAAGAATTTAGTTTATATAGAAGCTAATATAAATAGAGGCCTCATCGTTGTACTGCTTGGGAATAACTTTGTATACCACTTACACAATGATTATGGGGCCAAGTCTCGCTGTCTTGCATGCCAATAAGACTTTGACAAGTCTTACACCGAGAAAAGACTTTCCTGTACCTGGGGGTCCCTGAATGTGGCAGAATTCTCTTAGGAGAGCAGATAGTAATGCTTCACTTTGTCCACGATCAAGTTCGGTTCGTTGTTCAATTTCATCAATAAGGCTGGCATCATTGACGGTGGCTTCTGAAGTGTTAATTAGCAAATCACCCCTGGAACTATCTGTCAATATAGAATTTAGCGAATATGTAAACCTTGCTCCACGAGCATACAGTGGAGGTGGCACATCCAGAGTAGCTGCACCTCCAATTCCTCGTCGATCGGGCAAAATCCATTGTCGAAAAGGGAATCGGTTTAGTCTTTGCATATCTTGAAGGTTCTCGAGAATAGGCGTAAAGGTGGAGAGTATTACACCAGGAAGTTCTACCAAAATCCCTTCAACGGCACCGGAGTTCAATAGCGTCAGGCTCTCGAAGTCTTTTGGGTTCTGAGTGGCAAGTTTTGCAGTGATTATTGCTTGTGATTTGTGTGAGACTAAGTTGTGATCCGACTCGGGAGCTGTAGACTTCTTTGTGACGGTCAGAAATAATGGGGAGCATCTCGTGCCGTTGAATGAGAGTAAGCAAAGTAACACGCCCTCGGCGAGTCTCTTTGATTCATCCCACCACTTCCGCCTCTCTGATGGGGATTTTTTGGTCAATTGTGGAGGATGAGCAAATGACACGTGGACCTTCAGACCTAGTCGATGATTGAAAGTAATGTCGGCAACTTGCGCCTTCAGATAAGAGTGTGCTCTGATGTTTGCAATATCATTGAACTTCGGATTGCCCAAGAGCGATGGCTCTGTCTCAATGGCAAGGATAAGACCACCAAGGGCGGATTTCAGTTCACCAAAAATATCATGCCTTAACAAGCGAAAATGTGTATCTAGAAGTCTAGCCGCATGGTCCACAAGAAAGTGAGGTTGATCGAGGTCCGTTGAAGGAAGGAATTCCATAGCTTCGCTGCGAATTTCCTCCTCGGTCGGCAGAATCTTGATATCTGTGATGTCCATGTGGTCGTTGTCATGTCTCCCGTGAGGTAAAATAATCTCACGAGGATATGTTGATTGTACAGCCGTGGTAGAGACGCCACTAACTTGTTGCTGCTCTTCTGGGTGGTGAAGAAGTCCCTGAGCGCGCGCAATCAACCCTTGTATTTCTTGAGTACGAGAAGGAATTATTGCGAAAGCTGCTGAAGTTCGATCGATACCGATAATACTCACGGAAGTCTCTAGCGAAGTAACGACACCGGGGAGATCATCATGGAATAATGCACGTCGTTCTCGTCTAACGAGTTCTCGAAGGCAAGTAGAAATTGCGATTAGAGTTCTTTCGATACTATCTTTCGACACAGAATTGGAGGAATAGTGCGTCTCGAGCAAGTTTGTGACCAGTGTTTGGAAAAATGGGATCGCACGAGATCCATTACTGCCACTGATAAAGTTGTAGAGATTTCCCACACAAGTATCGATGGATAAGCAGTCCAATAATGCTTGATGTGTCATGACGTCCAGGAATGGCTGAACGAGTTTGACAAACGTTCCAGCACCATTCGTATGAGTGGTCATCTCCAGAAGAATTTTAATGTGTTCACGACCAAAAAAGTCGTCATTTTCTAGATCTCGAGGGACCATTTGTTTCGAGTCTCGGTCTTCGCCATCCAGAATATCAAGGGCACCTTGCCACAAACTTTCTATAGTATAGATGTCGTTCGATCTGGGACGGGACTTGATGAGGCGCTTCCAACTAGAATATGTACTTCTTGCTTCCCGCTGGTCCAATGTCTCCTCAGGTCTTGTACGAGGTTGTTGAATTACTTCGTCGGTATTAGAGCTTTCGTGGGAATATCTGCATCGTGAGCCACGAATGCAATTGCCTGTATTCTGAAGTTCCCAGCACATATCAGCAGATCGATTGGCATTTCTAAGACCCCTTTCCCCGTTACCACGACCGCGAACATGTGAGCCAACGCTTCTCCTGTTGCTTTGCCTTCCAGTACCTCGGGAGCCTCTATCGCTGCTTCTCCTATTGCCACCATCTCCATCACTTCCACGCAACCTTCGACTTGTATCATCATTTAGCCAGCTAGCCATACTAGTTGCTTAGTTGGTGTGGCCACCAGAGTTGTCAAGCAAAATTGAAAGTGTACACCGGAATAAAAATGTCTAGCGACAATGATCGAAAGTGATATGAATGAAGATACTTTCAAACTGTGTATTATCAACGATTGTGACCTCATTCGCTTATGACTACAATGATGTGGAGGCCCTCAGCCCTGTTTGCCTAATCAAAGCAGCTGCATATGAGACTGCCAACACACCGCATATTAAGAGACACTGCCACTCGGGAAAATGCATAACATGGGTCATAGTGACACGCATTAATTGTTTTTGTTTCTCCTGTGGGGGTGCCATCTCAGGTAGGTTGCTCAAGGCTAAGCACAGTCTGGGTGGTCAATCAGTCAACTAGCTGATCAACGCTGACTATCAGCGACTTAGTGTAGGTCAGTCAATTAGTAAGGATATATTCTCACTGATTAGTAGTGTATCAATTAAAGGTTCAATTTTGGGGTTAATAGGGTTTGTTTGAAGGGTTATATGATAGATTTTGATGATTTTGATTAATAAAAACAGAATCTCTAATATTCAAGGTATGAATTACTAAGTATAGTCAGGGTACATGATCCAATACTAAGTTGTATTGGGAATTATATATCAGGAGGAAAGTGGTGAAGGGAAGAGAAGGGGTGATGGTGATAGGGAGAAAAGGGGGAAAGAAAAAAAAGGAAAAGAGGTAATGAAAAATAATGAAGGTAGAGGGAATATGAAGGGGAGAGAAAAAAAAGAAAGAGATAATAAAAATAATAAAAGTAGAGGGGACATGAAAGGGAGAGAGGAAAGGGAGAGGGGTGATGAGGGGTAGTGAGGGTGGGGGGAATATGAAGGGGAGAAAGAAAAGAAAGAAGGATGGTGAGGGGTAATGAAAGTAAAGGGAATATGAAGAGAAAAGGAGAAAAGGAGAAAGATGATAAAAATAAAAAAAAGAGAAAGGGAGAAATAATAAACGATTATTTAATATTATATAAAAATCATATATTGACTAATCAATTGCTAATCAATGAATATTAGCGAGTCAGTGATGATGAGGTGATTTCGTTACTATTGAGTTAGTTGATATAAATGAGTTCGCTGATGACTGACAGACTGACTGACTGCCAGTGACTGATTGGCCACTCACTTGTTTCATATAAAAGACACTTTACCAATGATCTTGCCCTGTTAGAAGATTGTTAGGCCCTGTAATGGAAATCACACTCCTTAGTCTATCTAAGAGAGATTTTCTCAGTGCTATACACATATCACATAAGTGTTACGGCCCTATCCGAAAGTGCCTTTCCCAATTAAGGAGGTCGAAACGGTAGGCGCCACATTATGCGCCACCGAGTAGGCATAATTTCTTCCCCAAGGTGGTCCAAATCAATGATTCGCATGAATTGCATGCCATTATTTTGTACCGCCACTGTAGATAAGCTGAATCGACCTTGAGAAGATTTTCTTGAGCTAATAATGGTGTGAAAGGGGTGCTTGAGAAACATGGGTGTGAACTTCCGACCTCACCGGTGCAATAACTGATACTTGGTAGGGTGAGGATATATATAATAGGTAGGCTCGGATATTGAAGGGTTTTGCTTCGCATGTTGTCGAGATGGTAAAAATGGTTATTCGTGAGATGATTGGAGTTCAATATAATCTCGTCTGCCAATGGGATTGTGCAAGATAACTTCGATGAGTTTATTGAGGAAAGGTATAGCTTGGCCCATTGTTATGACTATAGGAAATGTAAGAAGTAGAGCTGCGGCACAGCAAAAATCTATTATCTATCGAGGAGAAGAGTAGGACAAACTAAAGGAATAAAGTCAATGATATGTGAAATTCGTTTCTTCCTTTTTCGATGATTCAGCATATCAGTAGCCGACTAATGGAAATATCTTCCAAGACCTTGCGAGGAAGGAAATGCCCGAATATGGTACTATATACTCAGAACAACCTTGATTGTAATCAAGATCGGTCTCGTACACACGAGTTTCCTGTAAGTTTCCTAGAAGTTTCATACTGTCACTAAAGGAACGTTTCTAGATGGAATATAAAATGGAAAAACATCTCATAATGTAAAGTACTCAATAGAAGAAAAGGCAAATACGAATAGGTGGGGCGCCTCGCTTACATTACAGTAACCACCTTACAGTATCAACTTAGCGCGATGTCTTGAACTATTCCCCACTTCACTACTTGAGTTATTCCATTAACTCAATATTATCTCACAACCTACGACATCGTGAAAGCAAGAGGTATCAATAGTTATCGAGATTTGGATTAATTCGGTGATTGGAACAAATGGAATCCCTCTTCGAGTATCCGTCCAATCTGAAATGGCACTCAGTGATTGTGGACGACCTCGTCAAAAGGACCAAAGTCAAACAACATTTGACCTCTCAGTGACATTCTTTGGTGTTGGCTACAAACATAGCAATACGCGTACTCCAAGACGTTCTGATAAGCGTTCTTCGCGACGTGAACGTAGCATCAGTTGCTCTCGCCGAGATCTATCCTCACAATCGAGTAATATTCATTCAAGAAGGAGCTTCACTGATAATGGCTCAAGGAACATGTCATTGCACTTCGATAAATTTCTTCCTGTATGTCACATTTTACCCACATATTAATACGATATGATATGGCAGAGAGCTTGACTGTTGAGATAGTTTTCCGTTGACTAATATTGTCGGTTTGTAAAAGATAAATGGTGCTAGTTACTGGTTGGCTTTAAGTGGTTGAGACTGTCAATCCAACTTTTCTTCATAATCATCCACGGCACTCTTCTCCATGAGCGTGACTTAACTTACAGTAGAGTTGATGCCCGATTTCCCTCTTTCACCCCCCTTCCTGAAATAATGGATTTTGCTCAGAATACGGTTGTCCTATTGCCATGTTATTGTCGGCTAGAGAGGTAGGTATATATTAGTCACGGTATAAAATACTGGAAAATCTTTACTCGAGTATGACTTTATTAGTATAAATTTCTGTTTGAATTAAAAAGGTCAAGTGATCATTGGGAAAATACAATCAAACTTTCAAAAACAGATTTTTTCAATGGCATTAATGCTATAAACATTTTGAATTAGAATATGATGTTGTGCGGAGTGGGATGGGGACTAAGATGGGTTCTGGTCGCTCTTGCCGTCGAGAGACGGAGCACCGCATCATTGATGGTGAATGGCCCCTCCCTAATCAGCGACCTTATGAATTGGGTATAAGCAAATGCTTTTCAATAAGGAGTTTCAAGTGACAACTGCAGTTTCTTTTCCACTACATCGTACCAAATTTCGTCCTCTAATCCTGCGATCCGGACCTTCGATTCTAACATTCCATCATGCGTGAGGGTAAGAACAACTTTATTCAGTTATGGGTATGGCGAATGGAAGAAAAGGAATTTGATCAAAGAACATTACCTCCCACTTCACCCCCAGAAAAAGAATACAGTAATCAAATGATGAGTTACAAGATGAAGTATCTGCTAAAAGATACAGGAACGCTTCGGTACGTTTCCAGTCTGCTATTTCCATTCTGTCCTTCTTTTTGTTTCTTCGTATCTGCTGCTTTACTCTACATTTTGAATGCATGCATTCGCCTTGCCCGTCATACTGCCCAAACAACAACTTTCGGTTTCCCCCTCACTCCAATAATTCCTCGCTACATTTGTATTCTTTGACAGGTACAGTTACTGATAAACCAAAGGATTCTTGTGACGATATCATACCTGAGAAGATCTGAATTCCGAAATCTATGGCCCCACTGAGAAGTTCATCTCCGCGCACAAGCCAAAACGCGTGCGGCTATCTTGTCTTCAGTTGGTAGATCGGTGGAAGCCACTACCAGCGAAATAAATGGACGACATCCGGGGTTGGATTCTGATTCAATATTCAAGGCTTTTGTAATCGGTTCCGCATAGCATACAGAGTATTCTGCCAGTATATCATCGAACCTTTGAACGCACATTGCGCCTCTTGGAATTCCGGTGGCATGCATGTTCGAGCGTCGAACGTCATTTTCAACCCTGAAGCTCAGCTTGGTATTGAATCCATGTCCGCAATGGCAGGCTCTAAAATCAATGACGGCGCCCTTTAGATTTTGTCGATCATAGTGTTGTGATCGAAGCCGTGATCGAAGCAAGAGGTTTCCTCGAGGATAGCTTATTTCAGTAAATGAATTGCGAGAATCATACATCTGCTACAACTTCAACCGACAAGCAAACACTTCTGCTACATATCTCGAATCTTAATATCTTAATATCATACGATGTCCGGCAGTGCGATCGATGGCTGGCGATGGTGAGGCGGGTGCCCGCGGTTCGTCACGGTTTGGCCGGATGGGGTTTTCATTTTCGTGTTGCGATTAATTATGGTTATGGTATGGTTTGAAGGCTTGGATTTTCATGGGTTTGATGGCTATGATATATTGAATGGTGATTTACCCGTCCGGATCTATTTAGGAGATTGAGGCTTCGAATTCGGGGTTTTATTGGTTTCAGTTTCAATTTCAACTCGAAGCTTCTATCTCAAACTTTGGCTATAAGCTTCAGTCTCACAAGCGTACTTATGGGTACTCATAGATTATGACAGTGATTTGTAGAGCTCTCAACGGTTTGGAAATAAAGGCATAAACTAATTTCCATTCAAAATGGTTTGGCGATGGAAATTTCGAAAATCCACGCGTACGTACGTACTCACCCATCAATCACACCGATCCTAAACCTAGGTTTCGAAATCGGTTCCTTTGTTCATGAGACGGAGAGAAGATTTGCTAAAGATTCAATCTCAAGTTCACGAATTGACTGATGAATTATACATGGGCGATTCTGTTGATGTTTGCAAGATATTGAATTTATGTATGTGTTCTGTAACTTTTGTTCAAGCTGGTTAATGATCAATGGAAAATTGGAAGTATTTGCGTGTATTTGCTGCTTGTACTTGTATGCAGATTTATGAGGTAGTTGCAGTTGGGTTGGTCAAAAGATGGGTTCGCTTGGGGTTGGAAATCTGGAATTAGGAGAGCGATTTTGGTTTTGTGGTGAAATTTTAGATAACTGTGGAAATGGTGGAAATTGTGGGATGTAGGAGGAATGGCGTGGGAGATGTGTGTGTATGAATTTATCAGAGTATATGCAGCATTGGGTTTATGAATGACGGATGATTGGGATGGGATCTCGACCGGAATTTAATGATGGCTATTCTGGGATAGAGAGTGCCAATGAGGTCGGGAGAGTTGATGAAAATGGGAGTGGCGAGGATGGAGGTAGATGAGGATTCAATCCCATGGAATACAGACAGAACGATATTCACGAGGAAGAATCTCGATTCTCCAATGAAATAATCAAAACTTCGTTCGATCGGTTGGCTCCAGCCAAAAAATGAAGCAGAAGATAGTCTGATAGTGAAGTAGAAGAAGGGCATGGAGGGTTGGGATGCTTTCTGAGCTGATGGCTAGCGAGCATCTAATTAGAATTTAGGATATAGACAGATTAATTGAAAAAGTGGGAAACGATTCGATTGAGAATCTGTCGATGATTGATAATTTGATTATTGCGGAGGGAGAATGCATAATAGTAGTAAGTTTATAAGAGCGGATTTGCTTTTGTTATCTGGTAAATGATACATTTGTGGCTCGGGGTTTATTCACATATGGTATTATGGAATGTGCAGCTACCGTGACATATGCAAGTACGTCGTAAGCTCTAGTCCATTGTCTATTGACACATGAAGAAACTAGCATTCCAAAATCAATGATAAATTTTGGGATTATATGGAGTAATAATAGCTATCAATCAGAAATCAGCTCATCGCTTATCCGCTGCAGGAAAAAAGAAAAAAAAGGGGAGAAGGGAAGACCTTATAAGAATATCGTACTACATACTGTACGATTCAAATTGTGTCGCCCACCACCACCTCACACAGCTCAACCTCTGACATTCCACCAATATTTCGCAATTCAAATTAATCTCTCGTCTCTTCTACTCGGTGCTCACACCACGAGTCTCGCCGACTTACTTCCTTTATGACGACCAGTATGACTGACCTTCAGTACCAATCGTAGTTCCTATTCACAGTAAGTATCTCCACCCAACTCCATAACTTCAGACCATAGACAAGACAAACCCTCACATCGAATACGTCTCGCAGGATTTCTACTGAAGCTTGTAAAATCTACATACTTCTTCGAAATTCCAGACTTCGCAAACTATACGATAAAGTAGCTAAGTAGGTAAGCAGCAATCAATGATATGAGATGAAGATAAAGATGAAGATGGAATCGTGCGCGAGGATTGTAAGCTTATATATATGGTGTTTGCTGATGCTATCTATTGTATTCGTATATATCTCATGCGAGTCTGACGAATCAGATTGATATTCGTTTTCGAGATTGCTTTTTCTTGGATGAGTGAGTGAGTGAGTGGGCTTATGTGTAGAAAATGGGCGAGGTGAAGTGAAATGAAGGAAAGCCTAGCTTTATGGTATTTTAGCGCGAGAAAATCAATTTTGGGGAGTTTTGGCTGTGGGGGTTGATGCTAGTTTGGAATTTGAAGGACTCTTGGGGGAAGTCATTTTCATTTATTTACCTGGAGGTTGTGGCTATTGTCATTGATTACTGGCATAGCATATTAAAGAGCTCTTTGGGCCATCGTAAACAAATCCTTACTACCTATATATCTATACCATTCTATCTATACCATCGATACCAAACCAATTCATTCCATAATCAACAGCAGCAGAGTCAAATCATGGCTAATAATACTATAACTGTACCAAAACCCCCTCTCACCCCACCCTACCTATATAAACCCACATTATGCAAAAACCCTCGGCCCAGCGTGTGCTTTGGCGCAGCGGTAGAGGTTCAAGATTGCACATCGTTGCTTCGTACTAGGTTCAAGACGATCCCAGATAGCGAGAGACCTTTCGCGGATTGTGGCGACCGGCGTTTTTTTTTGTATATTTTTCCTGTGAGTTTGGAGAGTGGGAAGGGTTGGTTTGTGGATTTTTTGCTATCTGCGGAGGGAGGGTTCATCGCGGTTGGTGGTTGGTGGTTTGGCTGTGAAGTGAATGTGGTGGGTGGAGATGAGGCGAGAAGGGTGAAGCGAGAAGGGTGAAGATATATTATTGTGGGGCTGATGGGGACGACGACGACGACGACCAAAATTAGAAATAATTAGTTGGAACTTGGCAAAACTCATTCTTGGGTTCGTCCGCGCTAAATAATGATTTTGATTTTGTAATAGCACGTCAATGGACTTGAAGATTGTTGTCTACTTCTTTTCGCGCGTCGGCTAGCAACTTGGTAACCACAGCAACCCCATAACACTTTCAAAGTCCGAATAGGTTAAAGGTTTCAGCTGTCGGATATTGATGACTAGATCTAGAGGGTTATTTCAAGAAGAAGTGGCGTATCTCTAGATATTTGAATGAGAAGAGTAGGAGATATTCACGCCTCACTTCACTTTTCCATTACTTCAAAAGCATACCAAATCCGCATCTGCATTCACATCCACATCCACTTCTCCAAGAAGCCTCAAACTCAAATGCAGAAAAGTGATTGTGTCTCTTTGCGTCTCATTAAATCCCCCTCCCCCCTTTTAAACCTTTTAAAGAAATCAATGCTAGTTGTGTATAGATAAACAAACACCAAGCGACTACCTCTGACTCGAAGACGTCTCTCACCTCTAACTAGATCATCATCCAATTGTATCCCATCAACATTGCATATCCCAGTACCATCTATTTCTTTCCCTTCACTAGTACTTTACTAGTAGCTTTACTAGCGCCTCATCTAAGCTTTTGTTGCACATCTAATATTCTTTCAACACCCTCTTTCTAAATTCTTTTCTCGACTCTGTCTACTGGGCCAAATGCTGTGGAATTTTACGGGTGGATGAAAAAATAGCCAAACTATGTGAATACTAAAAATTTAAAGAATCAAAGGATACCAGTGGCTACCATCAACGCCTCGAATTCCAAATCGTTGATTTCGATATACTAGTATGGAATATATACTTTTACTAGCGCCCCATCTAAGTTTTGTTGCACATCTGATATTCTTTAACACCCTCTTTCTAAACCCCCTTCTCAACTCTTCCCACTTGATCAAATTGCACAAAACTGTATAGATAGATAGAAAAATAGCCAAACTATATGAATATCGGAAAGTCAGAGCAAAAAATGTTACAAATGGCCGTCACCACCGTCTCGAGTTCCAAATCATTGATTTCAATTCTCAAAGTACTACACAAGAGTGGGATATATACTTTTCACTACTAATCACTAGTGACTTTTCGAGTTGTGTTGCATATCTGAGGTAATTTCTGATACCCCTTTTTCAATTACCTTTGATGTCCTAATATTTAGCTCAACTATTTGAAATCTTGTGGATAGATTTTTAAATAGTCAATATACAGGATTATCAACAATTTAGATTGATATCTTGTGAAACTGGTTTATGATACAGTTTCAAAGACAGAATTGTTGTTTTTGGAAGGATTAGCGTGATGAATAGACTTTCCACTAGTGACTTTTCGAGTTGTGTTGCACATCTAATATTCTTCTACATCCTCTTTCTAAATCCCCTTTTTCTGATTACCTTTTGAAGTCTTAATATTTAATTGAGCTATTTGAAATTTTGTAGCTAGATTTTAAAATAGTAAATATATAATAATATCAAAAATTTAGATTGATACAATTTCAAAGACAGAATTGACATTTTTCACAGGCCTAGTGCGGTGAATAGACTTTATACCTCAAAGTTTCCATATCAAAAATCAGATATCAGGGCAAAGAATGCATGCATTATCTGTCTGTCATATTCCAAACTTCTTTGTAGAAACTTTGGTATAGAATTATTAATGTTGTTTACCATCAACCCCTCCCCTTCCCTTCCCTTTCCTTCCCTGTGTATTTTTATAATTCAAACATACCAGATTCTTGATATATGAATTGATTTCACACATAGAATTGATTTGATTTGAACTACTAAATGATTTGAAACAACATATTAACTAAAGTAAGTGGAACAATTTTAAAATCTCAGAGCATCTCCAGTATTGAAAGATGGGATTTAAGATACAGTCTGGACTATTGAACAACCTGGAGAAGTATGGAAAACAGAAGAAACTCGCATCCGATTGTTGCTACCTCATAACGCCAACATTCGGATTATTCACATTACTTCAACAATCAACAACGCATTTTGAGCCTTTCTGTGCGTGTCCCACATCCCTTTTGCAACATTAGTACATCTTCATTTTCGAAGATTGATTTCGATTCCCAACAGGCTACAGCCAAGCTTCGCGGAAGTCGGACCAAACGAGTCCCTTTACCGCTGTGAAAGTGACATGACGCTAAATCCAATTACAAACAGTGCAATCATGAAGACCAATCATTGAACTCCATTTGCGTTTCTGCCAGGAGCACCCCATTCCTTCACGCCCCATCAACTTCTGCCCCAACTCCTCATCTCCATAAATCCCTTCATCTAGCTGTCATCTCCGCACCATAAACCCCGGCACTGCCAACACCCAGTCCAGAAGCCGATACTATACCCCACGTAAGCGCCGCTATTTCCCAATCCTCATCCTCATCCTGATCACCTTCGGTTACGACTCCATTTGTACCAGCTTTCAGGACATAAGCGGTATCTTGTTGAGACCTGGTGGATTTCTTAGGACGGCCTCGACGACGGAGTGGAGAGGATGTATCGGTTCTGTAGAGTGATTAGCTAAATCATATTTCAAAATGAGGATAGAGGAGAAAGACTTACGGTTGTGCAATGCTTTCCGCCTTCTGTTTGATCTTCACTCCTGCAGTTCCAGCTTTATTCATCCAAGGAATAACCACTCGCAAAATCTCATTCACATCCAGACCTCTCACAGCAGCCCAAGTTCCAAGACTCAAACCCGAAAGAATGACATCATATCCCACAGCTCCTACAGCAGGATGATCTCCGATTGCACCTAGGACTCGTTCAAAAGCTATGAACGCACGATTCTTGTTTGATTGGTGGACTTTTTCGAGTGGGTGGAGGATACTATGACGAAAATGGTGATTATCTGGTGTATTGTAGAGTAGAGCCAAGCCTGTAGTTCTAATGTGAAGAATGGAGGATATGGTTGAAATAACGCGGAATATTCTCGTGTATGAAGAATGAGCTTCATGTGTATGAACGTGAGTAGTTCCCCAGTGCTTGGGGATGAAGTATGGGAGTAATAATGGTGTGAATGGAAACGAGACCGATAACAATGCTACTGTCCTAAATGAAGGCGTATTTGCAGCGAAAGGTGTCAAAAACACGGCACCATACCCAAAAAGGAGTAAGGCAATGTAGAAGCCAGAATTTGGTATCCAATTATCCGCTCGCTGTGGAACGATCTTCTCAAACCACATTCTAGATCACGAGCATCAATACCCATTTCGCAATATCTCTTAGAAGAGTTACTTACTTATGCACACTCTCAAGAACCCTCCTTGTATCCGTCAAAATCTCCACGTTCTCTGGTAATGGCACTGGCGTAAGCAAGATAGCCACAAACCACAAATTTTGAGCAAACGAGACATTAACGAGCTGTCCTAGAAGAACAAATGCCCATAGATTCGAGATATTTCTTCGACGTCCTTCAATCGCAACATAGGTACTAAAAGATGTCATGGCGAAACTAGCTTGTTGGCCCCACCAAAAGTATCTTGCTTTCTCGGCGACTATTTCAAGATTATCGCGGTAAAAAGGTGTGTCGTTGAGCCATCTGACGATTTCAAAACGGCCTGGATGTTGACCAAGTCTAAATGCACCTTTATCGCCAAAGAAACTGTGTTTAAAGTAAGTATATGACATGATACAGACAACTGCTAACTAGGGGGAGGGTGTCAAAACAAACCTATCAGGTAACTCAACAGCTCTCTCAGCAGCCCAAACTTTATAGCTCAAGCTCGCTCCGCTCGCACCAAACCACCCAGCAGTCAATAAACCCAATAAAGCCAAGCTGATGAATATCTTAACATGACTACGTCTCAAAGGTTGCCGATGTCTAGTTGATGATGAAGGTGGTAGTGCTAGATATGAACGGTACAGGGTGCGAGAAATGAGAGCTGTTAAACATGATGTTAGGAGTATATGCCCTCCTAATTGTAATGTTGGAAGGATACTATGTATTTATATCAGCATTCCTATTTCCAGTTCGTCAAACACTATGATGATAACCAAGAAGACTAGAAATGTTAATGTAATACCTCGGATTGAGATCAATCTCGACTGGCGCCATTTTCACACCCAAATTTTCTCAAAAATCACTGCAAAAAAGAATCTATTCAAAATAAAACAAGATCATAAATCATAAAGCGAACTTTGGATGTATTTCCAAAGATATCGATATTATTGGCAAGTTCTTGACAACGTGATAGCGCTAGCGGTGTCACGGTCCACTAGCTCCCGCTTCATGCAGGCTTAGCGTAGATCAGCCTTGTGTGTGTCAAGGCTTTGGGTCCATGAGGTTCATCACAATACATTTCTTGAGAATAATGTGTTTTTTGTTGATTTTTCACGACTCAACTCTATCTGCGAATCTTCCTACTCTCTTTTATGAGCTCGATATTGAAGCATAATCATCTACTCGTTCAAAACTCGGTTCCTAGCTACATTGTGTTGTGTTCACGCTGATCAACCTGTTCAAAAACGCCCCACGACCCTACTCAACAACGGCTCTTCCAAAATCCCCGGGACAGTTTTTTTCGACATCCTGAACTCTTTCTGATTCCGAATCTATAAACAAATCTATACTTTTCGAAAAAGCCCCATAGTTGGTTTTGACCACAGACGTGCAACAAAAACTTTGGAGGAATCTGAGGTTGTGGTGGGATTGGCATATGCAGACAGATATCACAATCAACAATAGCAACATGTATCATTTGGCAAAGGGTGTATATCGGTATGCCACTAGTAAAGAGGGTTAGTTTCATTCTTTCTCTGTTTCTTTGGTCTGGTTTCGATATAATGCAGTACTTTTGCGCCAATGTGAGCTTGGGGGAGGAGGGAGGCGGGGAATTGGGCAGATTTTTGTGAAAGTCATGTCTTAATACATGGCAAATATGAATCGCATAGACCATCCTGTTTTGCTCAATCCCCAGTACTGTTTTACCAGACAGCCTCCTTCAATTCTGCTTCTTGTCTTTCTCAGACTAACCTCTCCCAGAATACTCCGTCCTCCTACTCGGTCTCGATAACGCCGGTAAAACTACCCTTCACACTCAAATCAAATCCCTCTACTCCCCGCACAACCCCTCACCCGCCGATCCCTCTCAACTTAAAACTGTACCCACCGTTGGCCAAAATGTCTCCACCATCGTGCTCCCAGATATGTATTTGAAAATCTGGGATATTGGAGGTCAACATTCTCTTCGAAAATTATGGCAGTCTTACTACACCAGTTGCCACGCCATTGTCTTCATTCTCGATTCTACAGACATCGGATCTGGTGATCTGGCCGACTTGGATTCAGATTCTGGGGATACAGATATGGGGAGATTAGAGGAGTGTAAATTGGTATTGGAAGATGTGTTGAAGAGTGTGGAGACGGAAGGGGTACCTGTGTTGGTGTTAGCGAATAAACAGGATAGGGAAGATTGTGTGGAGATAGTGAGGATTAAAGAAGGGTTGGTTAAGAGGGTTTTTGAGGGGGAGGGTGGCCAGGGGATTAGGGATAGTAGGGTTTTACCCATTAGTGCGCTGGGAGGGACGGGAGTAAGGGAGGCAGTAGAGTGGTTGAGGACTAGGGTTATTTGGAATAAGGAAGGAAGACCGCCAGTTATGCGGTAGTGAGGGGTGGAGCGAGGGTTAGAGAGTGAGCCTTGAGAGGTTCAACCTTAAAACCGCGTAGGGGTTTGCGCGGGGCTCAAAGGGTTGGCAGAGAGATTATAGCAGGGGAACAATCTTTAATGGTCACTCTCAGTCCTACTTTGATCCTTCCATCCCGTCGTCTGCAGTTTCAACATTTCGACTTCGATTTCTTGATTTATGCTTTTTCACACAACAGGTAGACGGGATGGAATGACTCAATTGAATGGAGACTCTTGCTTCACAAGCTAAGGCTGTAAAGCAAAGTACCAGAATCAACGAGCTTCATCCGGGTGATGAGTTTGTAGAAAAAGAAGACGAGAAGAGAAGTGAAATTTGGATTCTAATCTTTATATAATGATATTATGGATAGGCGTGGAGTTTAGCGGGCGTTTACTTACTTGGAGTTACTTGACCGGAGATTATTAGATGGAGAGGAGTAGAGATGGAGAGATGGAGAAATGAGGAAAAGGAAAGAATAGCTATTTTATATCATCGGTCGTTGTACGATTATCATACTTTACAAATGATATACTGGGGTAGAAGAAAAGAATCTAGATTTTGGGAAATATAAATATCATTTCTACGAGTATCTATATTCATAATTCTTTGCTTCTCGTTTCTCGTTTCTCTGGATATCAGCTAGTGGGTTTTGAATTATGCTCTATCTATATCTCTTACTTTTTGTATAGATGGGTTAAGTTCTTGTATGTGTATGTGTATGTGTATGTGTATGTGTATGTGTACTGTATGTGTATATATACTAGTATATAGTTTGTACGGGTATGTCCTGTATGATATATGAATAGTAGTATTTATCCATCTCTAGCATTCTGGATACAACACAATGCAACTCCTTACTCCTACTTCCCTACTTACTCCCTTCCTTCTCTCTTTCAATCCCTCAACATCTAAAGTTCAAAGTTCAAAGTCCAAACTCACCTCCCAATCTCTTTGCGACATTCAAATCCTCGCGAATATTTTTTACATATACACTCTTCCCCTTTTCCTTTTCCTTCCGCCTCATATCCAAATACAGATCCAGATCCCACACTCCAAGCTAGCTAGCTGCTAGTTTTAGTTTTCCCATCCGACGTCTCTATTCATATCCATATCCATATCCAACTCACAACTCACAACTCACAACCAGCCACAAAACTCGTACAACTGTTTTCCTTGACACCAACACCAACATCAACACCAATACCACATTCGTTCCCGGTACATACAGTAACTCCCATCATCAAATCAAACCATCTTCCCGCTATACCCCACAGCAATGAACTCCCATAAAATAATCTAAAGAAGAGACCCTGAATCTCAGAATTATGATCTTCTCCCTCTTGAATATCGATTTGCTTGTTTTTGATATCTATCTATTCTCACAAAACACAAGCAAGACACATCAGAACCATCATCTTCAACCCTCCACCCTATTTCATTTCATTTCCGATAAATCTTTCTTCTGCGATGGCAGTCAGTCGCTGATAGATATATACATACCGTTCGGTGTATCAATAGATGAATCTCAACCCCCATCCCCTCACCCCGCAAAAATATTCATATACACACGTCAGACTTTCGCGCGGACACTCAATCACTACCAACTGCGTATTCATAAATAGGAATGGGTATGAGGTTTTTAAGAAGGTGGCGTGGCAATCGTGGTGATGATTAGTATACCTTACTCGAGTCAATTTTAGGATTTAGAAATTTAGATGCGAAAAAGAAAGAAGATAATATGAGTATAGAGCTGTCTGGTGTATACTATGATACTGTAATATACTCAAGTAGTTTCAAATGATATTGGAGGTATATAGTGATCCATAATAGATGGATGTCAGTTATATATTAGAGGGTTACCAAGCCGTTGAGTATGTATTTATCTTGCTTGATATAAATATAAACCAGCTGTGCCGTGACTGAACTACGAAAATGTAGTTGTTATTGTAATTATATAATTTATTGATGATGCAGTAGTATTATGAAAATCCAAATATTAATATGAGATGGGTGAGGTCTTATATGTAACGTGAATCCAGCTAAAGAATCCCAACAAGAATTTCTTGTGAACTGACTGCATTTTGGATTTTACGGAAAGAATCAAGGTTAGGTTCTGGCTAATGCTGAGGCTGAGGAGTATTTGACCATGGGATGTCGACAATGAGATCTAATTCTTGATGAAAATGCATCAGCACCAGCACCACAGATCGACGATCAACGAGGAGAATATAAATAGATATGGCTGTGATAGATAGACAATACAAGATTATTCTGTGGTTGAAACTATTACCAGCGCAGCTAAATCAATCTCCATCTCATAGAGACTTAAATGATCGTCCTCGAAAAAAATAAATCGGCATACTAACCTTATAAGATACTACCACGAATCCCTCGAGAAGCGGGAGGATTTCTCGATCGTCAGGAAATTATCCCAATTTCCAAGTATGGTATGTCATGTCTATCATGTCTCGACAAATAAACAAAAAAACAGCCAAACATATCAGAATTGCAAAGCTGCAATGGATATAGATGGATGTGGATATATACAAGTGAACACATATACAGAAAGACTTCTCTCCAACAACAATAGTATATGTGTAGTATATGTGTTGTATTAACCAAGCACGAAGATCAGATAAGATGTCGATATTGATATTGATACTCATCCCTATCATATCATACAACGGGGCGAACAAACAATGGATACAGACTGCGTATGTGCATTTATATGCATTGTATGTATAACATTGAGCCCCATCCAATTCATTCATGATCATCGCCCGCGTTTTCCGCCACGAGCCTTCCTTCTTAAGCTTCCTTACCTTAACCTTACCTTACCTTACCTTGCCTTACCCTAAGTGAAATCTGGGTCGAAAAGATGGATAGATTATAGATTGTGGATTATGGATACTGTAGTTTCATGGTATTGATTACCGGCATTGATTGAGTCTTGTGACAAGACTTGTTTTGCTTTGTGATGAAGATGAACGACTAATTTATACTAACTACAGTATCGTTTTCTCTGCTAAGTTCTGAGTTCTGATATGTATGGTATGGTATTATACCGGTATTATACTGGTACAGTACTGATCCTACTGATTATACTCCACTTTCTAGAATCTGGGGCCGGCTACTTATTATGTGTGCCTGACGACCTTGAAAGGAAAGTCTTGGGTGTTTTCTGTTCTTTTCTTGAAGATTGCTTCCTACATAGTAGATAGATACATAGCAGCAGCAATCAATGGTGGGAATATTTTCCACTTTCGTGTGATGACAGTAACTATACATAAGTAGGAACGAATTCTTCCAAACGCCTTTGAAGCTTTGAAGCCCTATCTATGATCAAGATCAAGATCATGTTTCGTCAATGCATGTACTGTATGCATTGTACTCGTAATGATTGTAGAATCCAGATAGATATACAGCACAACACAGTGCCAATATCCGTACAGGAAATATACAGTACCATACTCGTACAATACCACAGCATGAAAAGGAACCACCACGATATCGCTACATACATACCGGTACTCGTGCACGTGCACCACCACCACCAAGTACCCGCTCCAGCACCAGTATCTGAGTATCCGCTCGAAGCAGAAACACACAGCGGAAATCCTCAAGAATGGGGGCGCGTTATAAATTTACAGAGTGGAGATTCTGGAGGGGTATGATCCACACTAGGGGTCAAATATAATGAGAATGTCCACTCTGGACTCCGCAGTGACTACCTGGGTAGTCTCGGTAGAATAATGAATCCGGTTGAGATCCGAAGATAGCGAGTAAGCAAGCAAGCAAGCATGCGAGAAGGATATTGTTATTTCGCCGAGGTAAGTGAGTACTGTATGAGGCTGTGAGCATTGTATATAAGTCTCCATGAATCCATACAACCTTACCAGATTTCAATGCTATATCCGCGAGTGTGGCTACTACAACTCGGGAGTAAGTAGATAAGCATTTTTATACAGGCAGGCAGGAAATAGAAAATTTAAGAGATTGATTCAAAGTTCTATCTTACTTAAGGTTTGAAGATCAGATCAGATCTGCTGTACTTGTACGTACTGTACTGCAAGTTCAAACCTTGAATTCACATTCATATTGTACCACTTTATTGTACCACTCGCTTGGTTGAATCTTTTGCCACCAAGATAAGATTGAGTTGTCAACAACATACTCGAGGAATCCACAAAAGATAGATAGCACGGCGATCAAATCGAATGCTCTATCCATCTGATTCTGTGAGTATATCTGCTGGATTTTGGTCTTTGGGTTGGGGGAGATATCTATCTATTCGAATAAAAAGATAATAAGTAAGAGTCCCTACCTACCGTAGAACCTTCCCCCCATACCTACCCCACAGTAACAACATGATACCAGTTCTCTATGTCCATATATCTGTTTTTTGCAGTTAGTTAATTGGTTTTACTCGAGTAGTATCTGTAGATAAATACTATGACTTCATTTACTATAACTACTGCGCTCTCCCCTCCCCTTGGCGACTAAAGCTCCCAGAAATATCCGGATCAAGATCAACATCATCATCAAGGTTTATGCTATCTACTATCAATCAATCAATCAATCAATAAACCCCTGAACTCTACTCGAGTAACCTTAAACAGTATACTGTACCAACAATACTGTCTATACTAGTAGTCTAGTCCAATATGCCAAAATTGATTGATTCATGACAACTTTGACAAGGCTTGGAATAGAATCTGTGATATCATATCGTCAATCATCATCATGGGAGATGGGATATGAATTGACTTACTCGAGTTTATCGAATAGGCATTGGATTTGAATGGGTATTGATGAAGATCATGAAGATTCGCACCGATTGGCATGTAGGCATGCATATATGGTTATCAGTCCATTTATTGATATACAGTACTTGATATACACTGTATTGAAGGAGAGTTGAGTTTGATTACTGACTCCCGATTCCTAAAGACTATATATACAAGTATTTTTGGACAATATATTAATTATATTATATCAATCTAACAACAATAAAAATAACAAGAAAACAAATCAGCATAGTACAGCAAACAGACACTGATACTAAAATACCAAAGCACGATTCAATGAATGTAATCCTATATAAAAACCAAGCCTAAAGATTATAACTACGGCACCTAACACTTAGCCGACAACAACGGGTATATACATGTAACTAGAGGCGCGATCACCCAGAAACGCACTGAAAATGGGTGAAGTGTCGGCTATGGAAATAGACCAATTATATTACTTGATTTGATTGATCGATAAGAATTTGATGGAGAGAGAAATAAAAGCGAGACAGATAGCCGAGCCGAGTCTCTAACTTAATTTCAACCAATAGTGTAAGGGTTAGTGGTTAGTGGTTAGCTTTAGCCTTAACGGCGTTAAAATATAATTTATGTTAGTAACCATCAGAAACTCCGATCACGATTCACGATTTATAGATGAATTGAATTGAGTTGAGTTGAGTTGAGTTGAGGCTTTGATTTGAATTAAGACTTGAGACTTGAGAACTTGAGACTTGAGAACTTGAGACTTGAGACTTGAGATTTGAGACTTGAGTGGAGTTAATCGCCCGCGATATGCGCGGGTGAGAAGGTTGAGGTTGAGGCGTGCTACATACACTGCTTTGCTATCTGATTATTTGAAGAAGCGTTAAGAGCGGTCGAAACTTCTTGCACATACACATAACATGAGAATCGCGAGTTGTGAGTTGTGAGTCGTGACCAGAGTTTTGAAATCTGGGTTGGGGGTTGGAGGTTGGGGAGTTCGGGTTACAGGTTACAGATTACAGGTTACAGATTACAGAGGTGAGGAGGTGAGGAGGGAGCGATGGTTTCAATTGTAAGCGGTGTCGATGGTTAGACAAGTACAGTATAGTTATTTCATCGGTGGCGTGGAGAAGGTTCTACAACTTCTACGGGTATATGTATGTGTACTCGAGTAAGTTACCAGCATAGAATTCGCAACATGTTTCTTGGCTATGGAGTCCAAACATCAGATATTTACCGGTACTTGTGAAAATATCTATATTCAGTACTTCAGATGCTTTGCTTTGTTATAGACGTTCGGATGTCTTGCTCTCCATCTCTGTGTCTCCATCTCCATATCATATTCTCCAGAAATTCGAAACAGAGTACCCGACCAAATGTTTCCATTGAATATTGATATTCCTAAGAAAGATCCGACTGACCGACCGACTAACTATGAAATTAATCCTTGACTCATTCTGAGGTTTCCTCGTACGCTCCGAGCGACGAGTTGCCCTTGACCCTTGACCCTTGACCCGTCCACAAGCCTCCTTCCTCTCCTCTCCTCTCCTCTATTGAACCACTCACTGCCCAGTGCCCACTACCCACTGTCCGCCCAGCAAAGCAATTACCCCCTCGAGTCAAGCCTTTTCCCTTCAAACTTTCCTCTTTCCTCAATTAATCTCCGCTATCCAATATCCGTATCGAAGTACCGTAATAAAACCGGTACCGGTATTATACATTGTACTTTGTACGTCAGCGTTGTCCAATATCCAATGTCTGTCCATCCCAGTGATCCCACCACCAAACCAACCAATCAAATATCTCTGATAAGAAAACACTTGGCAACCAATGAAACCTCAACCCAGACCCCTAATTCTTCCTTCCTTTTTAGTTGTAATGCACACGCGAGCAAGTGAATCAGTGATGGTGTACTTGGTGTAGAACCCTGATCCTAGGTTCTAGCCTTCTATAATCCTTCCACAGTGCCACCGACCGTACGCTGTTATAATATTAATGCGCAGAGAAGAACTTGATGCGGGTTTGAAGTTTGGATTGGATCGGATGAATTGGATGGTTTGGAGTGGCAAGTATCTAGGTGGAAAGAGCAAGATTATTGACTCGAGATTGGTTACATACCTACATACCAATACAAGAGGTTGAGACGACTGAGGAGAGATAACTTGATTTTGGAGGCTGACGACTTGTGCAGTATGCAGTGTGCATGAATTTGGGATATGTAGTGAGAGTTACACATTCACATACACTAGATATTAATATGAGAATCCTGTTTCGTTGACCGCTCAATCATTTATTCTATTCTCTCTTTTTCTGGATATCTGTTCTTTCTCTTTTCTAGATAGATGTCTGTTCTCACTCTTGATGTCTGTTCGCCTTCTCTCCCTTAATACTTCTCCCTCACTAACCATCACTGCCGATAACTCAAACCTTCCGTGCATGTGTCAATTGTGGCTGGAAGGGAAATTCGAATTGGACGAGGTGCAGTTACCACCGTAGTACGATACCTAGCTTCGCATCCAAGAGCATTTTGGGCTCACATCTCGGCACGAACTCCTTTAATCCCAGCACTTACCGATATTATTGGGTCCTATTCCATACTAGCTTTTCAGCTCCACTCATATCAGCGATATGATGGCCAATGAATCCCTAGTCATTCATAAGTTCTGATGCTTAGCTGATCATCCATTCCATGTGCGAGAGTGGATTCTCCGAACATGATACCGGGTTATGTATGTAAGTATGTACGGATTTCCGTGACTTAGAGCGAATGGGCGAGATTCGGAGTTGGCTTTTGGGGTTAGAAGTGTTAGATATGTATGGAACTTTGAAGAATTGCTGGATGGAGTAGGTATGGGTATTCGAGTTATCTGAAGTTTGGAACGAGGGACCCTCTCTTTTGTACTTTCTCGCGCCTCTTTCGCGCCTTGCAAAAGTCGAGTGAGTGGTAGGTGTCCCAATTGACCTTGCTAACTTATCAATTCACCCTGTAATCCTTGAATCCAATTAACCTTCTAAACTTACTACCGTACCCATCCATACCGGTAGGTCTCCATATCTAACATTAGCCCTCCGAGATGTATTGGCACTATGTTGTATATAGTTTAAACCTACTGGGTCTTTCCTGTATCATGCACGCATTATTACTAGTAAGAGAGAGATAGAGAGAGACGTCGAAACGAAATTACTTGGATCTCATATCTTAGCTCTATCTATCCACTTCACTGTCCGCCCCCCCTCCACTCTATATAATAACATATATACATATCGGTACATATCAAATTGGTCCCCTCCCCTCACTCAATCACTCTCATCTCAACAACATCAATCGATCAATCTCTTCTCAATTAAGTCCATTGAATAAAAAAGTAAAGCATTTAGCTGTTAATTGGAAAGAAAGAATTCAACCCTTTCTTCCAAAGTTACTTCTACTTCTATACATATACTTTTATCAACTACTTAGTACATATTCCCTCTTCAGTCTTCTTGTACATATTACCAAGTTACTGTACGACATCAAAGACATACGACTTATTCTATTCCATCCTATCATATCCAATCCATATCCTTATCTTATTTCTAAGACATCGAATTCGAAGTGCAGTTCCCAGTACTAGGATCCTTGAAAGGAGCATTGTTATCTCACAGCACCAAGCACCACTCAATCAATTCGATAACCCGCGCTTCAACAACTGCCAAAAAGATCAAATAGAATCAGAATCCCACGATATTTATATTCATATTTATCTGTTCAACAACACCCGAAGTCATACAATACAATAAATAATAAAATAATCATCCGACCGACAAGACTTACAATTTATATCATTTGGATATAACGTGGTTTGTACTTACTCAACAAAAGATCATTCCTTACTAAGTAAGGCCTACGATAACCGATAAAACCGCATCAACACATCGCCGCCGTTCGGTCACTTCTTCATACCTTGAATCGCTTTCCCCGATAAGAAATCAAAGAGGCAACATTTCACAAACTTTCCCACTTTCCACCCTCTTTCCCCAAGCAACTTTCAAAACTGAAAGTGAAATTCATGTTCTTCGAAACAAATCAACAGACTTCTTACCCTCCTACTACCATTTACGACTTCGCAACAGAGAAATCAAAAATGATGGCCACGGATTGGGCAATGCCTGTACAACAGTTCACGGCTTCTCCTTCTCAATATACTCTCTATAATGGCCATCAAATCTCTCCGACCAATACCATTCCACCCACTCCTAATAGTGCTTCCCCCACCTCTCCCAGAACGGGATTCATCAACTATCTACCAGCACATACCCGACAACTGAGACCCCCTAAGTCCCCATTATATGTGCCAGCAGTTTTGAGACCGACCGATCCACCGAGGAGAATGATGAAGCACTCACCACTCACCCCACCTCAAAGTATGCATAGCAGCTTTGACGATCTAGATTCTGCGACAATGTTGACAAGACGATCAACGGGAGATAGTGGAAAGTTTGGATTGGGCGCAATCACAGAATCGGAATGGAATGTTGAGGGCCTGGGAAAGGTGACTGCATTACCAACAAGAAATCACTGGAAGGTATGTTAGCAAAGTTTCCCAAACTTCAATCCAATCCAATCCAATCCAATCCAATCCAATCCAATCCAACACATCCGTTATGTTTGAAAGCAAACGGCGAGTTTTCAAGAATATATATACAAACGAGTACTTGGTAGTCCATACCTAAGGATTTCCCCAAAAGTCTTGGGGATGCTTGGAGTATTTGTACCTTGTGCCAATAAAGTATTGCAACACCTTGATGGATATTACGTGCTTGGATGCAAACAAATTCTTCATCGCTTGGCTGGGTCGCGTGCTTTCAAAGATATCCACCTTGCATACCAACCAACATACATCTTTTCAGATCTTACTTGAATACTGACCTTTTCTTTAGCCCGATGCCGAATCCTCTATCTGCGATGAAACCACCTGCACAAAATACTTCACCTACTTTACAAGACGCCATCATTGTCGACGCTGTGGAGACATCTTTTGTGACCAACACTCCAGCTACTCAGTTCCTCTCGATCAAGATGCCAAATATCATCCAAAGGGTACACAAAGTCGTTCCTGCGAACATTGCTGGCACCATTATAGAAGTTGGTCCATCGCACGATCCAGTCGATCCAACAGCGAAAGTTCCCAAGACGAACCTGGAACTCCCACCACTCCCATTGTCAATTGTGTCAAAGGTAGAGGAGTTGATAATCTCGCCGGACAACAATTGACAGGTCCACCCGAGAGTCTTCCTGCCAGCGTTCCAAGAGATTGGCACTGGAGCACCTTTTAAACAAACCTTCGAAGCTTACATGTACACTTGGACGTTTACGAATTCTACGAGTTTTCTTTTTTGATATTATGATGACGACAAGAAACGGCCTATTTGATCAAGAGATGTAAGAACATACCATAATTATCACACAACAACGGCAGCCACTTTTTCAACACTCAAAGCTTGCTTGCTCGTCTGTTGCTTTCATCGCGTTGAATACCCCAAGATTCACTTTGCGTTTTGATATTTTCTTGCTTGAGCCTTTGGAGGTTGAGCCCATTTCCTATTTCCTTTACTTGTCTGTCTTTTGATTTTTTGATAAGTTTCTTGAACCAAGATCTTTTCTACATATCTTAGACATGGTTTTTTTCTTTTGCTTTTTTTGCGTTTGCTGTTGGCTTAGCGTGGGGTTTTGATGGAATCGTTTGCTTTCGATATTGGCGAATGAATGAGACATGGGCGTTTGAATGGGGAATGTTTTGACTGGATGGATGGATGGATGGCGTATGGGAAATGGTATGGATTTTATGGTTATGCCATATGGATGGATGGATGGGAGGGAGGAAATACCGCGGGATTGATGGGATGGAATGGAATGGGTGACTTGGGTCGAAGGGGAGAGACATTATCAGAGAGGAGAGGAGAGAAGTAAGGCTGCTTGGATGGATATATCTATCTATCTGCACCACTGCCTTGTCTTGCTATTTACAGGGCTTTTGATTTTCTTACTAGGGCTTAGATGGCTATCTACCCGCTATACCTACTTGCTTACCTGCCTGTCTGCCTGCCACATTAGTTTAGATAGCTTTGCGGGAATAGAGATGAAATGAAATTATTTATATGGTATATTATATTTCGAGTATGGAAAGGAATGCTTTGCAATGTGATGTGATGTTCTTTAGGTCTGTAAGATTACAAAATTACTTATATTTATGGCAATCGTGACGAATGTGATTGAGATGAATGGATTGGGAGGATGAGATGGGGTAAGGCGATGGATGAGATGGGGAGATGGAGATGAAGGAGGAGATGGAGATGAGGAGATGAGGAGATGAATTGGTAGGATGAGATGGGATGAGGAGATATCTGATCGCGCTACAGTCTGGTCTGGTCTGCTAGAAGAATTTTGTTTGGGATGAATTGAATTGAACTGAATTGAATTGAATTGAATGAATTGAATGAATTGAATGAAGTTTTATTATTATTATATTTACTGAGTACCGGTACATGATATACAAATTTAGATTGATATATATATATCTAGAAGTTGTTATTGCCAGTGAGGACTAAATATTGTTTCGATTGTATTGAGTAGATGTTTCATGATTCTTATTAAGGTCGAGAATTGCAGGAGATGCGCAGATGCACGTGATATTCTCGGCTCTCTTTGAAACAAAGCAGACAAATTAATAACTTCATGTGATGAATGCATAGTAGTACCGGTAGTTAACCATTAGTACTCGAATACTTCATTCGCACTGTAAATACTTCATACCTTATCAAGTAACCTTAATCCGAAGCTTTCAGAACTGAACTCTTCACGGTGACCTCAAATATGGTAGATATCATTGCACCAATCGTGGCTCCTCTACCCGATCCTCCTGAAGGTCAATATTTCACAGATCTACAATGGAGTACATTAATGGCCATAATGGACACAGTGATTCCATCAATCCACAAAGCCTCCATCACAAATGATCCATCCAGTCAGCTCTCTATTCCCGACAATGAATACAACCATGCAGTAACTCACATGCAAACCACCATCTCATCACCCCCTTCAAACGAAGCATTAGAAGCATACCTCCACGAAAAAGCCTCCGATATTCCCGCCTTCCAAGATCTTCTTCTTCGTACTCTCACCATCTATGCCCGCGAAGATGCGCGCAAAGTCCTCGCTTTTATCCTCACCACACTCAATACTCGTCTTGGCTCCTTGATGCTAACAGGCTATGCCTCACCCCTCCAATCTCATCCCATCAATGTCCGCGAATCGATCCTGACTAATTGGCGCAATTCTTATTTCTACCCCCTCCGCGCCATCGCCAAAACAATGTCGTTGTTGGGTAAACATCTTTGGCTGAAAACATCGCCGACTTTCGATAGGGTCACGGGATTTACAAAGGTTCCGGATCATTATACACCGGGTCCGCATTATGAGTATGAGTTTTTGCAATTCCCGGCGGGGGATGAACCCCAGAACATGGAGACGGATGTTCTGATTGTAGGGAGTGGGTGTGGAGGGGCAGTCTGTGCGAAGAATTTGGCGGAGGATGGACACAAGGTGATGGTGGTGGAGAAATCATATTATTATCCTCCGTCACAATTGCCAATGTCGGAAGCCACATCCGGGATTCACCTTTTTGAAAATGGAGGGTTGGCTACCAGTGATGATTCCAGCATGTCGATTGTAGCGGGAAGTAATTGGGGAGGCGGAGGGACCGTTAACTGGAGCGCCAGTTTGCAAACCCAGGATTATGTGAGAAAAGAATGGGCCGAGGATAGAGGGTTGGCATTCTTCGGTTCGTCGGATTTCCAAGATTGTTTGGATCGCGTCTGTCAGAGAATGGGCGTGAGTGCGGAGCATGTGAGGCATAATCATGGGAACCAAGTCTTGTTGGAGGGTTCGAGAAAGTTGGGATTTCATGCGAAACCGGTTCCGCAGAATACGGGAGGTCATGAACATTATTGTGGACATTGTTCGAATGGATGTGGATCTGCACAAAAGCAAGGACCGGTTGTTTCTTGGCTCCCAGATGCTGCGAAGGCTGGGGCAGAGTTTATTGAAGGATTTAAGGTTGATCATGTTATTTTTGACGAAACGGATGGAAACAAGAAGGCGGTGGGAGTAAAGGGAGTTTGGACTTCAAGGAATAGTCAAGGTGATGCTGGTGGACCTTTATCAGGCAAAATCGTTCGGGAAGTTATTATCAGGGCAAAGAAAGTTATCATCTCGGCTGGTACAATGTGGAGTCCTATAATATTGAAGAAGAGTGGCCTCACAGTCAGTAAATTCTTCTTCTATCATTTCAACGGCTACTAACTTGCATATATAGAATCCACAAATCGGAAAAAACCTCTATCTCCACCCCGTCAGCGTAGTCGCCGCCGTATTTCCCGAAGACGTAAAACCATGGGAAGGTAAGATTACGTCACCTCATCACCATCCCCCAAAGTCCTTCTCCCAAGTTCCAATAATCCAACCCCCATACTAACATCTCCACCACCAAACCAGGCAGCATCCTAACCAGCGTCTGCAGCACCTTCGAAAACCTCGACTCTCACGGCCACGGCGTCAAACTAGAAGCCACCTGCATGATGCCCTCCCTCTGTCTCCCCATGCTCAATTATCCAACCGGCTTCTCCTATAAATTCAAATCGCTCTTCTATCGCCACATGAACGCCTTTATCTCCATCGCGAGAGACCGTGATACTGGATGCGTATACCCGGATCCTAAAACGGGCCTCCCGCGTATCTCGTATACGCCGAGTGAATTTGATCGCGGTCATATTATGCAGGGTGTTCTTGCCCTTGCTAAAATATGCTATGTGAGTGGTGCTCGGGAGATTCATGTCACGGCTCAAGGTATCGATCCTTTTGTGCGCTCTCCGTCTCCCTCTTCCTCTTCCTCCACTTCCAATCCCACTTCCAACCCTACTTCCAACCCCAATCCAAACAATCCCTCCACCGACCCCCTCTTCCAAACCTGGCTCACAACCCTCGCATCCACATCCACCAAACCCCCAGCATCACAATTCGCATCAGCCCACCAGATGGGTACATCGCGCATGAGTACGCGGCCGGAAATGGGAGTCGTGGATCCGAATGGAATGGTTTGGGGGGCGCAAAATCTTTATGTTTGTGATGCGAGTGTGTTTCCGAGTGCGAGTGGGGTTAATCCGATGGTGACGGTTATGGCGGTGGCTGATTGGATTAGTAGGGGGGTTGGGGGGAGTTGAGGGGGAAGTGGAAGGGAGGGGAGGGAAGAGGGGATATGGAGTTGAAGGGGGAAGGAGGGGGGGGAGGAGAGGGCGAGGTTGTAGGGTTTGGGAGGTGGGGTATGGGGTATGGGGTATGCGGGGGAGAGTTGAAGGTGCTGGGGGAATATGAAGGATATGAAGGATATGAATAGAGTATATTATATACTCATACTTCCAACAACAAACGAGACAAGATATCAAAGTCATCACTACTACATCCACAGCATAAATTATACACATTTATCAATTGATAATACCAATTCAACCTTTCAACAACAGCTCCGTCTCAGTACTTGAAGCATAAACAAATCATTTCCATGCCATTGATATATCCTGATAATTAACCCATTTCACAGCATATTGCACTGCTGTATCTGAAAAGAAAAGAAAAAAATAAGGAAGGACGGATGGATGGATTGGATTGGATGGATGGATAGATGGATGGATGAATAGATGGAAGATGTGAATAGATGAATGGATGGATAGAAGATATGAATAAATGAATAAATAAATAGATAGAAGTTGTGGATATAGATATAGATATACTAAGTTATGATATATCCTGATAATCTTTAATTCTGAATCTTCAACCCATAACCCATTTCACAGTATATTGTATTGCTCTATTTGAAAAGAAAAGAAAAAGGAAGGACGGATGGATGGATTGGATTGGATGGATGGATGGAAGATGTGGATATGGTTATGGATATAGATATGGATATGCTAAGTTATTGTTGTTGTTGTTGTTGTTGTTGTTGTTGTTGTTATAGTAGTAGTATATACAACTAGAAATCTCATACATTTATCTTCATCCATCAATCTATCCATCCATTAATCTACCTACTCAACTCCTTTCCTTTCCTTTCTAACCCCCCTCCCCCCGACTCCTTACCTTCCAGCTATAAACTCGAAATCAATTCTTCGTTTCTTTCTTACGAGTATGTATATCTTACGAGTACATGGTATCATCTTCAGCTCCTTACTTACTATTTACTCGTACTGTACTCGAGTAGTTACAATGTAAGTCTTATTATTTGTAGTGCAATTGTGCGTTTTTTCGAGCAAATTATTGATATGTTGAGATATTGAGATATTGAGATATTGAGATATTGAGATATTGAGATATTGATGCTGTAATGTTATTGAAAAGAACAATATACAGGTATATGAATTATGAATTATGAATTATAAGTAAATCCCATATACTAGTATAGTAAGTCTTACTACTCATAGATTAATAAATAGATACAGTAGACATAAACCGGGACGGCGCGATGGAGAGAAGGAAATTATATTTGTTTTTCCTCATAACCTACTCGAGTAGTGTAGCTCTACGAGTACAGTATCTATCTTAACACCTCATTCATTCATTCATTCATTCTTATCTACTCGAGTAATTAATCATGACTCATGACTCATAAACACGATTCAAATGTCGATTCGGTGTATAGGATAGATATAAAACTAAATCAGCATGAATCATGATATCTCTCAAAGGAAATTTTCTCGAATCCTGGAGGTACCTAGTCCAATCCAATATCCTGTGATTTCCTCAGCATACTGGTACTAATATGATGGTTTCATTTGCTTAAAGATAAGAAAGATACTACGAAATTTGAGTATTTCTATTCGCCACTATACCTTCTACTCGTATGTTCTCTTCTCCCCATCCCCATCATATGACCCTACTCGTACATACAGTAGAACTCCCTAAAGAAATCAATCGATCGCGTGTACGAATATCTAATCCAATAGGTTTTACCGTTTTAATAATTTAAGTTAACATTCAACTCCCCGACCAGACGCGAACCCCGAGAAAGGAAGAAAGAACGATATCATTTCAAAGAAAAGAATCACCAGCACCCACTACCTCAACCACGAGTTCCCTTTTATGATTTTAATAAACCTAACCCACCACAAGTAAAATCAGCATTATCCAATATCCCATATCCCATATCCCAAACCACGCATTTCCCCTAAACCTTCCAAACCCCTTCCAAACCTTCCCCAACTCCCCTAACATCAAAGAAATCAAAGAAATTCAAGAGTTTTTCCCCGAACAATATTAAGGAGATCTACTAATTTAGCCCCGTATTTAAGCGAGAAAATTAGTTTTGTGAGCTCCTTTTGACAAACCACACTAGGTTGGCTCCTTTCATCTATTCTAGGTTATTGGTTGGATGAATTCTTTGATTACTGACCGGTGTTTTTTTTTTCGAGACTATTGAATGAAGGTGTGTATGCGTGTGTGGGTGTGTGGGTGTGTGGGTGTATATATATATCTCCCCATTACTTTTTTTCTTCTCTTTTTTTGGTTCTTGATATCCATCATTTATACATTCATCCATTCATTCATTCATTTGTGAGAGCGAGAAAATAACTCATTCATTCATCCTTCAACTCACTCACTCATTCATCCACAAATTCAAAGCACCCAACCCCAACCTCAACCTCAATTCCAATCTCATTTAAATCATGTTCGCCCAACCAATCACAAATACATTTCCCTACTATCCACGACCTCCTCATATCCCTCCCTAAGATCCCTTCGAGTTCTTTATGAAGATTATACCATACCATACTATACGATATCGTCTGTCTATACTCGAATACTAGTATAGCATATTACTGGTATGGCTTGGGGTATATTACGAATCTTCGAGGGAGTTGGATCATATCATGACATGACATGACATTCAAGTCCCCCTCAAAAAAAAAAGAAACTACACAATACACAATCGCAACAGTCGCAATCGCAGAATCAGTCATTATCAGACACATTCCCATTCATCCTATCCATCCATCTATTCTATCCTCACAACTCTCCTCACAACTCACAAACTACAAATCTACAAATTTACAACCCACCATTCATTATACAAAAAGAAATCACGCATCTCTCCTCTTCAAATTCTCTTCCAATTCTCTTCCAATTCTCTTCAGATCCTCGACTCCCGATTCTCGACTCCTGACTACCGAGTTCCGACTCCTGACTCCCGATTCTCAACTACCAATTTTTTTGCGCACAACTAGACGATTGATCATTCTACATACATAACCATTCTACCTACCAACCACTCATTACAAACCACAAAATCACCTTTTCATCCATCCATCCATCCCTCCATCCCTCCATCCCTCCATCTATTCACATTGGATAAAGCCCTAAACCTCTATTTATGGCACCATCCAATCCAATCCAATCCACTCCAATCAATTTTTCTTCGATTACTAGACTACTCAACTACTAGACTAGTATACTATACGTACACGGCATATGTATACGACAGGCACCATAGCACCATATATAATATCAAACTTCCAACTCCCAATTTCCAACTCCCAATTTCCAAACTCCAACTTCCAACCTTCAACCCACAATCCGTGGTTTCGAAACGCACACCTACCAGCTGACCAACATACCATGGTATACCAAACCTTCAATAGATCCTAGATCATAATTCATACATCACAAATCATAAACCCTAAACCCCTAAACCAACACCAACACCAAGCAAAGTACTCGAGAGCAGAGATATATAAACCATAACATCAACATCAACATCAAGATCCAGAATACGAGTATATAGATAGATAAGACAAATCAATAAATCAATCCATCCATCAATCACACTTCACAACCTCACACATATGAAATTAACACACACATTTAAACTGCTCACACATTCATAAAATTTCATCTCATTTGTATCTTATCTTATCTTATCATACATAGCTCATAGATTCCCCATCCATCCCATCCATCCATCCATCCCATTGAAAGCACTCATCGTACTCGTATATTTCCCAGCAGATGAGGTCATCACCATCCCATCCACCCATCCACTATCTACATATCCATCCCTGCTAGCATCTAGCATCTAGCATCTGTCATCTGTCATCTGATCTGCCCCATCAAGCATATAAACTTCCCTTCCCAACTAAATGCAAGCAAGCAAGCAAGCTGTAGCTATCATGACTTTTCTATGTTCATATTCTCGCAACGTTGCCAGCAAAAAAATAAATATCAAAGAAGATAAATCTTGAAAGAAAGGCATAGCAGCATTCCCATCTCCATCTGCATGTCATGTCATTGATATTAGATCAGATCAACAACCATGCATGTCACCAGCCAGTGCCCGTCAAAGATCGCAAAGATCGCAAAATAACAATGTGGTATCTTATCGTAAAAAAGAAAAGCAAAAGTCGACCCCGAGCAAATTTCAGAGCTGTCACTTCTTTCAACTCCACGCCCATAAAAATATAATGCGCCCTCAAGGGTATGTCGGCCCCTTCGTTCGCTTGATTGCCGAAAGATTATTTGTGATGGTGTGTGATGGTACATTGTGTATCAAAAGAAAGGAAAATGAGAGTTTGTATTTTTGGTATGCTAGCTTCGAGGCCGTGAAAATGATGTTGGCTGTGCCGAGGCAGCTTGTGTGGATGTATCGAAATGTCGTGCAGGCTGTAAAGGGCTAGAAGGGTGAAGAGCTTGTCCCCGAGCTAATCGTTGTTGCTGGATACGCCTCAGTTCCTCCGAATCCTCTGCATGCATATTTCCTCGATGCTTCTTCTTCTTCTTCTTCTTCGACGGGGAAACCACAGGGATCCTCAGTGATTGTGGCTGACGATTTATGGCATGAAACATTTTAGTCTATAGTTGAAGCATGTCAGCTTTTGGGACACCTAAGATCTGAATATTGCTGAAAAGAATCCCCGTTTGTGAGAAGGGGCCGTTGACAACTCATCACTTGATGATAAGGCGACTTGAGGAGAACTGTCGATTTTCTTCACTTCCTCATTTGATGAGGAAGTGGTTGGGAGAGAACCATGAGACTTGTCCAGTTTGGCGTTGCTACTGGTTGTAGCCTCAACAGAATCGTTAAAGGCTACCTCTTCAATAGGTCGACTGTCTACAACTTGTTCTTTCCCACTTTCATCATCCGATTCATCTGTAATCAAAGCGGGAGGTGCGTAAGGGTGCTGTATTACCTCGGACAGTGACTTCACATTCAACGGAATGTCTCCCGTGGAGTCCTGTGATAAGACGTTTTGCTCTCTGTCTTCAGTTGTCGGCTTTGAATGACTGGAGATATTTTGATCTTTCCCTGGTATCACATCCCCTAATTTTATGGTATTCGAACTATTGATTGATTTGTTAGATTGAGCAGTCGAAGAATTGGATTGTGGATGAACCACAAACTCCACTCTAGCACCATTATTTGTGGCTTGATTGTGGCCATTCTTAGCCAATGATACTGCAGGTCGAAGCTTCTGATCATTGACCAGTGGGGTTAAATCCGGAAGTTGTTGGCCATTGACCGGTGTTGATTCTGGGCGATTGGGTTTCCACCAAGAGGCAACTCGATTTATGAATTCCTCAGCACTCAACTCCAGAGACAATAGTTGTTGAGCGGCAACATTATTTTCTCCAATGAATGCGGAAGCCCTCTGGTAAGCCATTCTTCGACGCTCATCGTTCATGTTCTTCTTAAACCTAACCTCTAACACGCTCCGGATGATCTCGTAAACGTGGTTTGTTCTTTGCAGAACAGTAGCTTCATCTGGAAATTGATTCATGGTTCTACCACATATTCTAAGCTTGCCTAAGAAAATTTTCAAGGCCTATGATTGATTAGCTTTTTGGAACCTAGCGCGAATTTGTGGTGGAAGTGTATCTTACATAAGACCCTGGGGATATTTCTTCTACATCTGAAGTACCAATTTTTATTTCAGAATTTCCAGACTTATTACTGTTGACCATTTCGTTCTTGACAAGGGAAAGCATTTGAGATTGAGACAGAGACTGATGTCTCTGTTGGACTTGCGGCCTTGGTGCGACAATCTCAACTTGCCCTCTCTGTCGCATGGCTGCATGAAAGGCTTGGGGATCAGAGCGCTTCAGTTGTTCATCTTTGACCATTTGGCGAACCTCTTCTTTGTCCTTGGGAGTCAACCGATCATCATCATCCTTCTCAAAATCATCGGACTGAATAATTTTTAGGATTGTGCCTTTATTCTCTTCAACACTGAGGACATTGTCAAGAACAGCACTGTCCATTCCTTCAAACACTGAAAGGTCCTCTTGTCGTATTTCCCTTGGTTCAAAGAGAATTTCTCCCAAGCCCTTCTGAGCCCATGACAATGGGTTCTTTTTATCGACAACTCTAGAAGCAAGTTGTGTCTTGAACACTGCTTTGTTTTGAATGCTGCTTTCAAATGTACCAGCAGCCATCAAGCGATAAACAAAAACGTGTTTCTTCTGCCCAATACGATAGGCTCTACCGATTGCTTGTTCTTCATTGATTGGATTGTACCTGAAGTCAAATATGACCACCCTGTTAGCGCCGTATAAATTCAAGCCCAAGCCACCGGCATTAGTCGAAATCAAATAGAGCTCTAAATCGTTCGAGTTAAAGTCCTTGACTAGTGTTTGGCGCTTACTCATCACGGTTTTGCCATCGAGCCTTGCAAATTTTCTGCCTTGGTCCTTACACATAACTTCAAGGAAGTCGAGGGTGGTAAGTGTTTGTGAGAACACTAGAACTTTATCGCCAACTGCTCTCGAAGCATCAAGTATCTGGCAAAGAATCTTGACTTTATTCGACAGTTCGGGGTTTGTGATGCTTCCAGAGACGGACTCAAAAACTTTTACTTCGGCTGAGATTAGATCTTCAGAGACCCCAACTTTCCAAGCCTCTGGATCATTCTCAAGATCTTCATCTGTCACATCCCGAGCCTCCATTAGTTTGTCCCTCCGAATGTGGGATTTGTTAGTGATATGCAAATCATTTTGAGAGCTTCTGTGAACCTCGTCACTTCGCTCATCTAATTTCGCCTTAAAACAAGAAGGGTGGTTGCAAAGAAGTGTCAAAATGTTGATGTATGACCACACTGTTGTTTGCTTTAGTTGTCCAGACTTTGTTCGAGCAGGCTTCGCTGATGCCATCGAGCGTACATAGGTGATATATGCTTGTTTCTGGAGCTCAGTGAGTGAGACGCTGATGATGAATTCCTTCTTTGGTGGCAAATCGTCCCGAAGGACTGATGTATCTGCACGATGAACTTTTGGGGATAAATCTTCCTTCAAAACCTCGAGCATTTTCCTACTTCGGGTTTTCTCGCTTCGAGTGCTATCGAGATAAAGCCCTTGTTCGATCGGTTCTTTGTATTTGGCTCGAAACTCAGCTATAGGACCGAGGTAATTAGGTGCAATCCACTCAACCATCGTGTGATACTCCTCTACATTGTTCGCAAGAGGCGATCCGGTCAACGCGATGCGAGTTTTGGTTCTGAACTTGGAGGCAGCAGAAGTCAAAGCAGACTTATAGTTCTTCATTTTATGTGCCTCATCGGCCACAACAACATTTGGACCTTCGAGAAGTTGAGTCCTTGCGAGCTCTAACTTATCATTGAGAGGCGCTATAGATTGACCTGGCTTTGGCTGCGGCCCAGTTATGAATCTGCGGAACATATCATATCCTATGAGCAGAATACCGCCTTCACGAAACCAATCGCCAATGGTGCGTAGCCTCCTGGCAGGGCTGGCCGCTGATTCGATTGGTCTCAAATCTCCAAGGATATCATCGGGTGACCAGGTCAGAAGTTCATCCACCCAATTAGCAATGAGTCCTGGAGGACAAAGTATAATTGTTCTTGACATACGAAGACTGTCGGGAACTTGTGATGACACCGAGTCATCTGCTGACGAGGCTGCTTGAGCTAGTGCGACCAGTATAGTAATTCTAGGAGAGATTGTTAGTTTGAAATGATAGGAAAGGATTGATCATACTAACGTCTGCATGGTCTTCCCCAATCCCATGGTATGGGCTAACAGGCAGCCTTGTGTTGCTTTGCCATCGGCAGTAATTTGATTCCAAATGAATCTGACACCATCCAGCTGATGAGACTTGATGCGTTTACCAATTTCTTCATCAACGTAAATGTAACCTTGATCATCAAATTTCCCCTCATTAATGATGTGACGGTCCAATCTTACATCTCCGACATCGTCGGATTCCCTTAATCTAGCTCGAAGTTGCTTTTTGCGTTCTTCTTGGGCAATTACTCGTGCTCTATCTTGCTCTCGCAAGTCTCGAGCATCTGCGTCCTCAAAAAACTTACTTTGCTTCTTGCTTGGAGAGTCCTGTTCCATTTCAGAGAAACGCTCGCTATCACTTGAACTATTGTTGCCCATTAGCCATGAACAAATTCAGATTCAAACAGAATGGAGTAGCTTACCTAACAGGTTTACGTCTTCTCCTGACCGAACCCTGAGGCTCACCATCCTCTTCTTCGTCAGACACCATCGTAGATTCAGATGGGAATTCGGCTTTGGAAAAATTAAGAAGAATCTTTGGTTGGAAATAACTCTGCAATGATTTGCAAAGGTTGTAAAAATATTTGAGGGAGCGGAAATCATCATTGCGAATCACATCAGCTGCAACGCGCATCCATCCATCATCTGCGAGGTGGAACTTGCAATCAATGTAGATCCAGAATAGCCTGACAAGAGTCAGTAATGCCATGGATAACTGCTCATCCAATCCCTTTGGCTCGTTATCAAGATCTATTGATTCTTTTATTCGGGTTTGTAATTCTGACTCGTTACCCATTGTCGCAATGAGCTCAAACAATGACTTCTGGACAGAGATCGGCAGCCTGTCTACAGCCGTAACTATAAGTCGGTTCCGGTCTCTAAAGCCCTCCCAAGTTTTATAATCATGACGAGAGACTGCTGCTGGTGTCGTTAGTGACGGAAGGTTGTTCAAATCTAAGAAGGTTCTTTGCGAATATTGCTCTTGATCAGACCCCGATGAAAGATTGATTGGGCTAACAAGACTTGAAGGATTGAAGTTAGACATCAACTTGGAAACTCTATTGCTCTCTGGTGTTACCAAGTCGATGACAGTAGTAGTCTTCTTTTTAGGTGTGGATGTTGATGGTGGAACTGTCGACTCGGTTTTCACAAGAAAAGAAGAGTGGTTGATTGGCTCTGGAGACCCTGAATCAGATAATGAAGCCATATCGACGTCTCCTTCATTATCATAACCATGCTGTACAGATGAAGCAGATTTTGAACTTAATTTAGCTATCCCTTGAGATGGATTCACTGAAGCGTATGGGAGACTATCATCGGACATGGTCGTATCATCCTCATCGTCTGCAAGATTGAGTTCTTCGACAACAAAGTCATTAATGTCATTAACACTTTCCACTGCAGAGGATTCGCTATGAATTGATTCTCCAGAGTCACTATCATTTCCAGATGGAAGAGCATTTTTTGCTTTCACAGGAATAGTTGTTGCCAATTTCGGAGGTGCCGATTTCTTCTGGAGAAGAGCAATTGTGTAGACCAAATCCTCTCGATCAAAGATAGTTACCTCCATGATGCGAGTTTGGTGGCGTACTTGTGGCTCGTTTGACCACTGACCAAGGATTATGTTCTCTCGAAGTTTGGGGATGCGACTGTCAACAAGATGTTTGAGGTTTTGCTGTGCTTTTAGTATGTCTGCATGCTTTGACCCTGTTCGACGTGACTTTGTCCAGAGTCGAAAGGCTTTCTGACGACGTTTGGGAAGTTTTGTATCTTGCCACTGGGAAACAAGATCTGCGATACCTGCATCGACAGCCACTTCTACTTCTTGTGGTGTGAGAAATTTATTCTTCTGCTTCTCTTTCTCAATATATGCAGCTCTCTCCTTGGCTTCCTCATCTATGGCTTCCCAAGTTTCTGTATCGAAGCCATTTTCCGAACCAGATTCACCATACAAAGGCAACTCTTCATCATCCTCCTTGAGCATGTTGTATTTGTTCAAAGCATCAGGATCTTCATAAGCATTCGCCAGCAGATTTCCTTCGGCATTTTCATCGAAGCTAAAGGTTGATTTTCCGGGATTCGAGGAACCGACGGGTTGTGCTTCTGGATTAATTTCAGGCCATGACGATAAAGCTTGCCGGGTGACTTCGACGGCATCATCTGAGCCTGAGCGGTATAGCGTGAATGAACCCTTTGGCGCAAGTCGCAATTGATATGGCTTAACGGCCATCAAAGCCTTATGGTTTCGCTCGAAACGTTCTGGGTCAACGCAAAGAAAATGCTTCATGAGGCGATGGATATACAGACGACGGCCATTTGAGATAGCGCTTCGTTCCTGGAATTCGAGTACCATTTCACTAGATGGAATCTGCTCGCCTGCTGCAATGTTGCCATAGAAAACCTCGTTTACAGACATCTTCGAATTTCCCAAATAACCATGATCAAGTTGTGAATGGAGATAGATACGGACTGTATCAGCCTCCGTGGGTATTGTTCGATCTCTTGTTTGATCGATGGCGGTTGTAATCAGTGTTGGAGCAATGCGCTTGCGCTTCTTAGTTGATTGCACCTCATTGGAAGTGTGGTTCAAGATTTCGGGACGAATCTGTTCAATCGAAGTATTATCTTGTTGAATTGAAGAATGGTTTAAAGAAAGTGAGGGCATGGGGAAGAGAGGCTCCGAACGATTGTTTTCCAATGGCCGATCCGGACTTTTGACGGAAACCTCAGTCTCTAGCTTTCGTCGCTTGTTGCCTCCAGATATGCCAGACACATCTTCGGCAGCTTCATTCAGACTGGAGTTTGGCCCTTCAGCTTCTCTCTCGGTGAGTAGTTTCAAAGGCTGCAGACCGGGGCTGTTTTGGATACCTGAATCACCAGATGGCATATGAATGGGGAAAGTTGAATTGATGGTGAAGTTGAAACCGGCATGAGACGATACACTCGGCAAGCTGTTACTGAACTGCTCTAGAACCGGAGCAGTACCGGCCAAGGATCGTTCTTTGGATAACCAATCCTTGTATTTCGGGCTTCGTAGACGGAGTTGATCGACTCCATACCGAATGAAAGACCGCCAACCAAGTTTGGATATTTGCAGATCTTCGCGCATTGTCTTATCATCAAGGTCAATCAAAAGGACATCTCCTGCAATTTCGTTCTCCCGAATAACCTTCTCCAGAAACACAGGGTCCGGTAAACGACTGGAGGCTGCCCGAAGTTCCCATGATCGTTTGTCGGTGCAAAACTCTTGAACCACCCTATCAATCAACCAGTCCCAGGGATCATCGTCCTCCATTTTCGTATGATTGTAATTATAATTAGCTATTGAGCATGGGGAAGAATCTGGCGATGGGAGCTGCGATAGCCAACGAAAAACGTGAGAATTGCGAACTGCAGAGAAATGGTTAGTTGTGGTCATAAATGATGCTGAAGCATAACACCTCTGTTTTTGAAAGCTAGATATAATAGATGAAAACGATTACTTTGATAGATAGTGTAATGGTCTGAAGTGAAATTTGGTAAAGATATCGGTGGCTCACGTTAGGAGGTATGGTAGAAGTAGAAAGTTCGAAGGGTCTAAAGAGATCAATAGCCGTTCCATCTGACTGAATTCAATATAATATAAATCGAATCGAACTCGTAAAGTGAATTGGGATGGGTCGAGTTTTTGATATCTTTAAAGTTGAAAGTACTAGCGACTACAACCCCAGATAATCGCGATTATTGCATGCTTGGAAAAAGGGATACCGTCAAAAAGAAGCAAATAACACAAGGAATATCTCTCTTCCCATCAAAAGGTATCAAATTGCGAAATGGATCAAATTATTTTCTAATATGCGCAGAGAAGAGATGGCAGAATATCAAAATAAAATCTGATGGTGGTGGTGATCCAGTTGAGGTTGTAGAGGATCTGGAAGAAAGAGGAGGGAAAAATGGAAATATTGACGGGTTGAAGATTGAAGGTTGAAGGTTGAAGGTTGATGGGTTGAAGAGTTAAAGGTTGAGGTTGACTTGAAGACTGTACCAACGCGAGTTTCTCACAGCCTTCAATCACGAAAATGCGTGCTGCTAAGCCTTGCGAGATATTTACAGTTAGGTAGTTAACTTTCTTCTTATCGTTATCGAGAGCCTTGCCCATGGTTCAGCCTCGTTGACAGTGGATCCGTAAAACTCAAAGGGATGCTAGACATTAGCTTTTATGCCCTACTACCCACCCACTTTGGGTGGAGTTTCAGTCCATGACGACAAATTATCAATGATTAATAAGTATCGTCGCCGTTGCTATTTCGACCTTGCTTGTGTACTAATCATTCGAACTATCAAGAGAAATAGAAATAGAATCTTTCATACCGACCCGTTCACCATTCTCTCTGACTAACCTTCGAACTTTCACTCCATCATCCTTCCTGAACCACTCACTCACTCATCATGACATCTCCCTATCCTCCAGATATCTCGGCAGAAGAATCCGATCAACTTCTTGTGACCATCAAAGATTGGTCCATAGCTCATGGATTGGCAGTGAGACCCCCACCAGCAATTATCTCGACCAAAGCAGATCCTCATGGTGTCTTAGCAACCACTGCACCAGTCACTCTATTTCCGAGTCCCTTTCCTCGAATATGTTTCGAGCAGGCCAAATCGGTTCAGAAAGATTACAATATCTTATATGCATCTATTGCTCAAGATGAAGCTTTTCTCAAGGATATTGTTCAAGAGTAGGTCCCATGAAATTGTAGCTTACAATTTTTCTCATGTCTCGAATGTTCGCTGGTAATAATCCTAACTATTTTTGTAGAATTATTGAAGTGGATGATTTCATTGCCCAACTTTGGCATGTTCACGTGAAAGTTCGAACTGAAGGTTATGTTCAGGTAATTCTATCAAAATTTGTACCCAATGTAAAGAAATCAAGAAATGCTGATTGTGAAGAACCTCTCTCTTGGTCTTTTTCGATCAGATTACATGGTTCATCAAGAGACATCGGATGCCACGCCTACGATCAAGCAGGTCGAATTCAATACCATCGCTTCTTCCTTTGGAGGATTGTCCTCTCAAACTTCGCAAATGCATAAGTTTGTGTCAATTAATGTTTTGATGAGTCCAAATTACTGATTGTTTTGTTAGATATCTGTCATTGAGTAATTACAACCTTCTTAGTAAGGATGTAAGTAAATCACTTGACCTCCCAGAGAACACAAGCACCATATCATTGGCTTCTGGATTGTCACAAGCTTTTGATTCCTACAAGAAATCCAGTCCTAGTTCTCAACACGATTGCTGCACAATCTTCTTGGTGCAGACGCCGGAGCGAAATATTTTTGATCAAAGGCACCTTGAGTATGAGCTGCAAAAGCAGGGTATACCAGTTTTTCGATTGGCATTCTCCGAAGTCCTTACTCATACAACCGTGGCTCAAACTCCAAAAAGAGAGCTCCTGTATTCACCACCAAGCAATCCTTCCAAGAAATTTGAAGTAGCGGTTGTCTATCTCCGTGCCGGATATGGTCCTCAAGACTACCTCGACGAATTGGCCTGGGAAGGTCGTTTCCAAATCGAACGTTCAAACGCAATCAAATGCCCTTCAATCTTGACTCAATTGGCTGGAGCCAAGAAAGTCCAACAAGTACTTGCTACACCAAGAACTCCCTCTACACCATCAATCCTGAATCGCTTCATCAAGACAAGCGATGTGGATCTCGAAAGACTGGAAGATACCTTTACAAACATCTTCCCACTCGACGATACCATAGCCGGACTCGAAGCCCGAAAGATGGCCATCGATCCAGAACGCTGCAACGGATATGTCCTAAAGCCCCAACGCGAAGGCGGCGGTAACAACATCTACCGCTCGGCCATCCCCCCATTCCTCAAGTCCCTTCCCGAATCCCATTGGAAATCCTACATCCTCATGGAAATCATCACTCCACCACCGGTTCACAACATGATTTTACGAAATGGCATCATTGAGAAAGGTGGGGTGATCTGTGAGCTTGGTATCTATGGTACATGTTTGTGGGACCAAGCTACCTCGGAAATCATACATAATGAGGAAGCGGGATATCTCTTACGGACAAAGGGTGATAAGAGTGAAGAGGGTGGAGTGGCGGCGGGTTTTGGGTCCATGGATAGTGTGGCGCTTATTTAGAGTTAGTGTCTATCCCCAATGTAGTAAGGACTTGGGTTGAAGAGTAACATCAAAATCGACTGAGTCGTTTCCGGTTTAACCTAACCCGATTGAGTCCATGCTAGGAAAATGAATACTAGGTACATTTGACAATGATAGAAAGAATCAACAAATTAGATAATTACATTATATCATCCACATTTGTCCCAGAACATCTATCTAAATAATTAGAAACGAGAAAGACTAGTATAAAACACAATTAATAGACTGCAGAGACAGGGGTAGAGTAATCAGATTTGCTTTTGCTTTTGCTTTTGCTCTCGGAAGGTAAGGTTACTACAGTATAGCTTATCTACTCAAGTACAGACAGATAAACAGATAGACAGACAGACAGACACTGTTTCATTTTCATGTTCATTCTACAATCTTTCTCTTCTCTTCTCTTCTCTTCTCTCTCTTCTCTTCTTCTTC